TGAAAGATACGAGATGGTGAGAGGTCTCTTCTCTCATTTATGTCCTCTATACTAACAAAAAAACCTCAAACACACTTATCAAATTCAATTAAAATTTTCGCATTTCTATTTATAAAGTCTCTTTCATTTTTCCCCATATATTTCAGGTAATTAATTTATTATATATGAATTATCGTTGTCATTCCAACCCAGGCCAATGATTTTTTATATCATTCGATTATATAAAAAAAAAAAAAACAGTATAGAACTGTTCTCCATTCGATTTCAAGAAACATCAACAGTTCTTCAAATGCAACGTCGCAAATTTTTCAAAACAATGCAGAAATTGTTTGCAAGTATATTAGGTCATAATTTATTCTTCCATTTATAAATTGTTGAGCTCTATGATCAATTAGTTCCAAACTCTATTTCTACTTTTATCTAAAAGATGAGATTCGAATTACCTTGTAAGTAACTTTTTGGTGGTGTAAAATCAACATTTTTGTTTTTTTTTTTCACTGTACAACATTTTTGTTTTAAAAGACAAAAAATATCTAATCATATTTCTATTCATTTTCCTTTTTTTTGGTTGATAGTTCAAATAATTACTATTTATATCCTGTATTTCAAATAAAATGCAACAAGTTGCCAAAGAAAAAAGAACAACATTTAACTTTACAAACAAAATCTATCTTTATAAGTGATATTTTCTTTTATATAAATCGTTGCAATAATAACTTTTGAAAATTTCTCCAATTCTTTTTGGAATATGATACTTACAAGACACACAAAAAAGTGAATCTTGTATGTATTTAAAAAAAAAAATACTCGATTAAAACGTAGTGATGGCCCGTATATTTTAATAATTTACAAAAAAATAAATGAGCTAATTTTTATTTTAATTTTTTGTTCAAAGTTTTTTAGCTAATTTTCTTTGAGAGAGAGAGAAAGAGAGTAGGGAAAAAGCAAGAGAAAACGGAAGAGATGAAAAAGCAGAGAGAGTGATAAAAAGAAACAGCTTCGTTGTCACTTGTCACTCTATAAATCGCATCCCCATTGACAACCTTTCACTTCCATCAAAACTCTCCCAAATACACTCTCTCTCTATATCTCTCTCTATCCTCTCATCACTCTCTCTCTCTCTGAAAATGGAAAAACCCATGGTTCCGACATGGAGACCCGACCCGGTTTACCGTCCACCGGAGACACCACTCGAGCCTATGGAGTTCCTAGCTCGTTCATGGAGCGTCTCTGCTCTCGAAGTCTCCAAAGCTTTAACACCACCAAACCCACAGATTCTCCTCTCTAAAACCGAAGAAGAAGAACCCATCTCCGCCGTAGACGGCGACGGCGACACAGAAGACACCGGACTTGTCACCGGAAACCCTTTCTCTTTCGCTTGTTCAGAAACTTCTCAAATGGTCATGGATCGTATCTTGTCTCACTCTGTAAGTCCTTTCAAATAAAAACAGAGCATTTCCGGACAAAACAAAGCATGTTGACAAATTTTATTTTCTTGTCTTCAGATTCTTAATTTTTTTATTTTTTTGTCTCTCTTTATGTTCATCGGAATTTGCCAAATAAAGTTTCATTTTTTAGCAAATTATGTTCATGAATCTCTCTTTATTAGTGTGATTAATGAAGGAAAATTCACGCGCAATAATTATAGTTATAAATCGAAAAAAAAAGTTATGATTTTTAGCTACACACTCGCTTTCTGGGTCCCTAAAAACATAATAACAAGTTTATGGATTTGTCATCATCTCTCTTCTTGATTCTACTTTTGTCTCATCTTCTTTAATAATTTGTTTTGCAGCAAGAAGTATCACCAAGAACATCTGGTCGGCTCTCTCATAGTAGTGGTCCACTTAACGGTTCTTTGACCGACAGTCCTCCTGTGTCTCCTCCCGAATCCGACGACATTAAGGTTCAATTTCTTGACAAAATCTGTGTTTAATTTCTTACTAAAGCATGTATCTGGGTTTTTGAGTTTTGGTGTTACTCTCTATGTAAATGTTTCTAATTTTACTGCGTCACTGACAAGTTTGGGTACAATGAGAGACAGTGAAAATAAAAAAAGAATCTTCACTATAAGCTTTCTCTTTATCCAACCATACCCAGAGATCATGTCTTTCTTCCACTACTGTTTCCGATGATTATTCATCATTTCAATTCAATTAAAAATTTTGGATTATTTATTCAGAAATTATTCCTTAAACCCATTAACAAATTGTTTTTGTTTTCACTGAATTAAATAAGTATTTAGTGACACTTTGGTCTAAAGCAATCTCCTTTACTTGATTTGGTTTTGTCTTTTTCCTTGTTCATCACTCTTCTTCCAAAGATTTTTCCTTTTTTAGATTTTGCTTCACTCTTTTGTTTATCCATTTCTGGCGAATCACTGATTTTAAAGTTCAAATCTTTAATCTTGACTGCAGCAATTTTGTAGAGCAAACAACAATTCACTGAACAATATAAATTCTCAGTTCCGTACAACGGCGACAACTCCGGGACCTATAACAGCCACAGCTACACAGTCCAAGACGGTGGGACGGTGGCTTAAGGACCGGAGAGAGAAGAAGAAAGAGGAGACTCGGGCACACAACGCTCAGATTCACGCTGCTGTATCTGTAGCCGGCGTTGCTGCAGCTGTTGCTGCCATTGCAGCAGCTACTGCTGCGTCTTCTAGTTGCGGCAAGGATGAGCAGATGGCTAAAACTGACATGGCGGTTGCTTCTGCTGCGACCCTTGTGGCTGCTCAGTGTGTGGAGGCTGCTGAAGTTATGGGAGCTGAGAGAGAGTATTTGGCCTCTGTTGTTAGCTCCGCCGTCAATGTTCGTTCTGCCGGAGATATTATGACTCTCACCGCCGGAGCAGCTACAGGTTTGTTTAGCTTTAATAAAGTTTTGATTTTTATGCAATTGATTGACTCAAAAGCTGGAACTTGATGGAGAAATAGAATCATTTGGTTTTAGGTGTAATGGGGATTGCTAAAGTTTTGATTTTGATGAAGGAAATGATAGAATTGATCTAGGGATTTGCTCAAAATTGGAACTTTATGAAGGAAACAAAGTTAATTTTGGTTACTTTGATTGTATTTTTGGTGTGTAGCTTTAAGAGGAGTGCAAACATTGAAGGCAAGGGCAATGAAGGAAGTGTGGAACATTGCATCAGTGATTCCAATGGATAAAGGACTCACGTCTACTGGAGGAAGCAGCAATAATGTTAATGGTAGCAATGGAAGCTCAAGCAGTAGTCACAGTGGTGAACTTGTACAACAGGAGAATTTCTTGGGAACTTGTAGCCGAGAATGGCTCGCTAGAGGTTGCGAACTACTCAAACGCACTCGCAAAGGTAGCAAAAATTCAATCTTATGTTTTGAAAGTTAACATTTTAGTTCTTGAATCTTTTGTCTAATGATGTTGTGTGACTTTTGCAGGTGATCTCCATTGGAAGATAGTGTCTGTTTACATCAACAAGATGAATCAGGTAAAGATTCTTTTTACTATGGTGCCTCGAGTTTCGGTTCACTTTAGAAATGATCGTTGATCTGATGAAAAAGATTAAAGAGAGCCAAATTATTTGTGAATCAGTGGGAATCTTTAGTTACTTCACATGGATGTTAACTTTGTTATATGAAACACACAAAAAGATGAGAAAAGAGAAATTTCAAACGGCAGGAAAAGAAGAGAAAGCAGAAACAATACTAAAGCTAAAATAAAAAAGCACTGTTATGAAAATGATGATGATACTGAAATCATGGGATCCACTTTTGTCTTTGCTTAAGCATCTCTTAGAGAATCACTAATTTTGTTTTGATTTCTTGAACTTATAGGTTATGTTGAAGATGAAGAGCAGGCATGTTGGAGGAACCTTCACCAAGAAGAAAAAGAGTAAGAGATCATTTACTCTTATTACATATAAGTATAACATCGGTCTCCGTAAAACACGGTTTTTAAAACCTGATTAGAATGGTTGAAGATTTCTCTAATTCCTTCCAAAACATTGAAGATGATTCTTCTAATGGTTTTTAAAACAAAGGATTTTTTTTGATTGATTAGTTTGATATTGAAAGCTTTAACTTTTTGTCACTATCTACTGTCAATGAGTCAATTATATGTGAACCTGGTAAAGAGAATTCAAAACTTTGAGGTGGGTCTGCTTTGGATTTGGGGATTTGAGACGAAAAAGGAAAAAAAAATTGAAAAAGCAAAAGTGTGTATGTGACTAAAGTAACTATAGGATCAAATCCCTTCAATCTTTTACTTTTTGTGTTTCTTTTGAATGTGAACTTGAAGACTCTTTTATTAATTATTTTACTATCTTCCAATTTTGTTATAGACATTGTGCTTGATGTGATCAAGAATGTCCCGGCCTGGCCCGGACGACATTTGCTAGAGGGAGGAGATGATCTTAGATACTTCGGTTTGAAGACGGTCATGCGAGGTGATGTTGAATTCGAGGTCAAGAGCCAAAGGGAGTATGAAATGTGGACTCAAGGTGTCTCAAGACTTCTTGTTCTTGCTGCTGAGAGGAAGTTTAGGATGTGAATAAACGTTCAATGGCTGCTTTGTTTAAGTGTGAGTTTTTTAACCTATGGGAATTTTAGGGGTTCTTTTAAGGTAATGGTTTTTTGGGTTGGGTATAGGATAAAATGGACCTACCAGTCAAGATTTCAACACAAAGGTGAGGGAAGGGATTTGGGTAAACAAAACTTAGTGGGGGTGGTGATCTGTAATTTCTATGTTCTTAGTTTTTTGTTGTTTTGTTGGCGGTCTTTTTGTATAAAAAAACAAAGTTGAAGTAATAGATATATATTTTAAAATTGATGGGTCCAATTTCTCTATTTATTGGGAACATCAAATATGCTTCTTTTTTGTCCCATTATTGTTGAAATATCCATTAAGCAAAGAGAAGCTGCGCATATTTTTATAGTCACAAGAAGACAAGTAAATCATTTGTCACATGTAAACACTTAAGAAGAATGTTTTGGTAGTGTTAACAAGTTTACCAAGCCATAAACACTCACAATATCTATATTAATGTGTTCTTAATATTCGATAAATCTATGTCTGGAATTAGTAGAATAAAACGACACCATCAAAGAAGATGAAACACATGTCACTGGGTGTTGCCCATGATGCCGAGGAGGTTGAGGAAGAGATTCATAACATCGAGGTATAGACGGATCGCGGCAGGGATATACTCGTCGTAGTTGAGTTTCTTGATCAGCTGGTTGGTGTCGAAGATGATGTATCCGCAGAACACGATTGAAGCTATTCCGCTGAATATCATCGAAGAGAGCTTCCCGAGAGGGTGGAATATCTGCATTCATTTCATTGTTTAGCCTTCTAAACTGTAATAATATATCTCACTACTCCCAAAACTATGAACTGATCATTGAGAGTTAGTACCTGCAAAAGAGAGAAGACGAGGATAATGAGGAGTGCACCAAAGAGGAATGGTCCAAGGAAGGAGAAATCATGTCCTCTCTTCACTGCCCAGAAGGTATAGATCGTTAGACCAAAGACCATCACAGATGTGAGAATTGCAGCCTCCAGAACAATCCTCCCTGTTTTCACAAGACTTGGAAATTAGATTCTAACCATCAATCAAATTCACATTGTTCTTTTGCAATGAAATGGTGTAACTCTAGTTACAGAAAACAGAGGTAACTTAATGTTTCTTGACCAAAAGCATGCCCTGTTCCTCTTTTTCATGATTGACCAAACCAACAAGATACTAAATTTCAACTTTTATGATTTTGAAAACAGTGCTACCTAGTCAGATTATAACCAAGACTTCATCTGAAACAAAGATCTAGATGCAAAACTATCTCCACAATGAACTTATTGTCCAGTGTTGGTGGATTTGAGACTATGTATTTTAACAACACTCCAACACTACAAGCAGACCAAGTATGATTGATATATCTGTATCCATACCTTTGGAGAGAGAGCAGCAAATCCCCACAGCGAAGGAAATGGAGAGAGTGAAGATGGACAGGACAATGCAGTTTATGGGATGCTTCTTCTCAAAAGCCAACAGAGGCCACAACACTACAAACACATCAAAACCAAACCACATCAAAAAAATCCAGATCAAATCTGTAAACAAAACAATAGCTTTCAAGCGATGAATCAACGAAACATTAACGTTATATAAGATCAACGAAGCAAGAGTAGCTAAAGTGAACACTATATCAATCAAATCACAAGCTTTTTTTGGTGAATCGCACAAATAAAGTAACTCAAAACCGTAAGCGACGATTATGAATCAAGCATAGCTAATAAACCCTAAATAAGCATGAAATCGAAAGATCAACAAGAGAAAGAACCAAAAAAAAACGAAATATGTAAAAAGGAGACGTAACGGAGGAAAGGAAGAATGAGGACGACGAAAAAGACGGCGAGGCCGCGGTGAGTCTCAGTGATGAACTCAGGAATCGGACGGACGAAGTAAACAACGGCGGAGACTCCGACGGTGAGGAGCATCTGAAGAGACAAAATGCTGTAAACTTTCCTTATGAAAGCCCAACGAAGCTCCGAGCTTTCTTTCATTCCGGGATAAAGCTCGTTACCACCACCACCACCACCACCACCACCACCACCAGTTTCAATGTCAGATTTCGCCATTTTTGTTGACATCACAAAAAAATCAAAGCTCTGAAGAAGAAGAAGAAGAAGAAGAAGAAGAAGAGAGAAATAGGTTTTTGATTTTCTCAGGAAACTAGAAAGAAAGTGACTGGAAAATTAAAGGGTAATGCTGGTGTTACTGTTCCGTCACTGTGGTTAATCTAACCACCCAATTATATTACGCCACGTGGAATATATGGACGGCGTTTTTTCGCGGATGTGTGACTGTGACTGTGACTGTGACTGTGTAACCAAACATTGCCGGGAAAGTTCATTTTTTCCAGAATCAAGAGGTGAGTTACGGGTAATTCTAAAGTCACTACGCTGTCATATTGCTTCTCGAGACGTACTAATGGAATTAAGACACGTAGCCTACCTGGCACGAGTTACTTTTGTCTTATCTATTTGTCGTAACTCAAGATTTTTGCATGGAAATGGAAAGGAGACTACGCTATACGGAATAAAGTTTCTTGTACTATTTATAGATATATATGGAAAAATGTAGTTTTATCTCCCAACTTTCAAAAAATGAGATAAAACGACATTTTTCCCGATATATATATATATATATATATATTTGTAAATTGTAATGCTATATATTTTAATTCTTTTCGACGAGATTAATAATACCGATTCAGTGAATTCTATACATCATTATTATTCAGTACCAACCATGCTAATGAGTAATGCACATTACACTTGTTACCTAACTTTATACTTGTAAAATCAACTAATTGCGTATATATATTCATCTATGACAATTTAAGCTCACTGTATAATTTGAAATTTACTTAAAAGAGAGAACTACAGTGAACCAATTCATAATCTGTTATTCCTCTCCTTTTAAATTTTAATATATGAATTTTGGTAGAGTTTGTTCTTTATATAACGCTAGAATCATTTACCAAAAAACGTTAGCCAATCTTATGGTTTTTGGTTATTAATTACTAAACTAAGGCTTTGTTTAATCTCAAAAGGTTTGGTTTTATAAATAACTTGTACATGTGGATCAAGGCAAGTACTTAACCCAAAAGTCAAGAAATAAGAGTTTGTAGGATATCGAAATGGTGTGATAAAAAGTTAGAATCTCACTGATAAAAGGCCAAAAAATTGTGTCATTTGTCATGTTAGTATATTTTAAGAAGATACATTGTATTATCAAAAAGAAAAAAAAAAAAAAAAAAAAAAAAGAGAAGAAGATACATTGTATAAAGATAAGTCGATTAATATAGGAAATGGACTTAGTTGAGAAAACAGATAAACATTGTGAACCTGAAAATAAAGATTATATCAACATACTATAGATAGAACTCATGAGTCATGACCAGAACGAGTATCAACTACTATCTAGATACAGGGCTAGAAATTTATTACACTACTATCTAGCTTTTGAAAAATAAAAATATATATGGGTTACTATGTGACCCAAAATGGAGGATATTTAAAGCCTACCCAACAATCTCAGAAGTTGCAACTGTAGATATCAAAATCTAAAGAAATGGTAAGAAACAATGGATGAAGAAATTTCACACCTTACTAATGAAAGAACATGGACTCTTATTGAGCTGCTTATTGAAATTCATTGGAAACTATGGGCGACTCCAACGTACAATTAGAAAAACCCATTAGGTTTTTATACAAATAATGAGAGAAAAGTTACAACTTACAAAGAATTATGAACTTATACGTACATTTTATTGCATGAAGAAATTTAAAAAATAATAAAAGCGGGGTACAGAAGAATTAATTGAAGTTTCCAAGTGTAGGAAGATGTCTATGGACCTACTCAAGGAGAAGTCTGAAAATACCTTTTCTTTTCCTCAACATTATTAAAATCACTTGCCGTTAATTGTTCAAAAATCAAACTTCCTAAAGAACTTCAAACCAGTTTTGACAGAATTTGAATTCATTAAACATAACCACAAAATACAGAGACTTCATTCAGAATCTTCTTAAAAGAGAACGATTAATACCATAGATTCTTCAACAATTACATACAAATCAAATGAACTTCAAGAACAAATCATAGATAGGTTTGAGACACGTCCTTATAGCTTGGACTAGTCGGATCTCTGTCTCATCTTCTCGTGCATCCTCTTTAATTATTTTCCCCATGCGTTTCTTTTAGTTCTTTCACTGTCAACAATGTTTAATCATGACAATAACATTAATAATACAACAGCCCACTTTTATTGTTCTTAACAATTAATGTTCACTCCCAATTAACTCAAGAAACTGATCCTTTGGAACTTAATTAAAGCTCAAAGAAAAGCAAAGAGTGGCCACAACACCACAAAACACCATCAAATCTATAAGCATTTCAAGCGATGAATTAACAAAACAGCTAAAAATTTACAAGATCAACAAAACAAGTGTAGCTATATAAAGTGAAAACTACTATATCGATAGAATCTCGAGCTTTTTTGGAGAATAGCATTCCCACAAATAAAGTCACTCAAAACCCCTAAATAAATAACGACGATGCCGAAAAATTGGATAAATGTAGAGAATAGTTAACCCATTTAGCATAGCTATAAACCCTAACTAAGCAAGAAATCGAAGGATTGACTGAAATTTTAGAAAGAAAGAAAAAAAAACGAAATATGTGAAAGGAGACTTAACGAAGGATATGAAGCACATAGCGAACTCTCTTTCATCTCCGGATAGAGATCGATACCACCACTTTCAATGTCATATTTCGCCATTGTTATTAAAATCAAGAAACAAAGAAACTACTAAAGAAGAAGAAGAAGAAGAAGAAGAGAGAAAGAGGTTTTGATTTGTTTGCTCAGGAAACTTAACTAAGAGAGTGACTACTGTTCCGTCGTTTTTATTCACTAGACTGAACCAATTAGATTATGACGTAGTAATTTAGTGCTTCTTTATATGACTGTGGTGTGTCGTTCACGCATGGAGGTTTTTTAACTTTGTGTTATTTGTCGTAAACTCAAATTTTGCATGGTAATAGACAGGGGACCACACTGTATGGGAATAAAGTTTATTGTACTATTTATAGATATCTTGGTTATTCCCAAACCGGGAAAATTCTTCGACGAGATTAATACTACTGATTCAGTTTAAATATTCTATATATAACATCATTATTAAATTACTATCCACGCTAATGACATGTTATACACTTGTTATTGAGAACCAAAGAATAAAAAATCAATTGGTTGCTAAGAAGTATACAAGAGAAAACAAGGCATCAATGGAAACTATGAGCGACTATATATGTGTAAACCAAACAAGGCATCTCTAACAATTGTAGAACGAGAGGGCCGAATCTATAATATTAGAGACTAAAGCCCATTGGGTTCTTGAGTTTCAACTTACAAAGAATACATTTGAGTGCATGAAGAAATAGATAAATTAATAATAAAAGTGGGGTAGAGAAGAATTAATTGAAGTTTCCAAGTGTAGGACGGTGTCTATGAACCTACTCAAGGACTGTTCTCTGATGTTTATCTAAAACTATATGAAAAAAGTATCGTTTGATGCGATAGATTTGACAATGCACTTCTCATTTTCTGTTCTTTTTTTAATAAGTGACCACATTTACTAATCCTTCGTTTTTTTTTTTTTGTCAAAAAAAAAAAACTAATCCTTCGTTTATTATTACCATTTATAACTTATTTATGATTCCTAAAGCAAATTAAAAACACTAACTAACGAATCCACATGTATAATATATAAATGCTTCTCGTTTATATTCCTTTTGATGCGATAGATCATGATGTTAATATGAGATCAAAAGTACCGTGATTTTAAAATTTTATATAGGTGCAAGTTGGGGGATCTATTTTAAGGCTATGAATATATGCAGAAGTCTTTTGTCTCATATTAAGCATTCATCTGGATCATAAACTGTATGTTAGAAGTTCAGAGGAAAACAATTGCTTTTGTGTGGTTGTTGATCAAGTTTGTTAGTTTGTGTGCGTAGTTAATAAAATAAAAGTCAAAAATTTGTGTGGTTTCAAGTCTATCAAACAAAATTGGTGAATTTCATAGTGGTTATATTTTTTATTCTTCTTGGTTGTTTTATTTTTTGGTTGGTTTAGTGTTTTTAATCAGAAACTATTGAGTTTGCCGGCGCTAAAATTTGGGTTAAATTTTTTTTAGTATGTATAGTTCGTAAGAAAAGAGAAACACAAAAGTTATCAGCTAATTTACACACTAAGCCTTAATTGGACAAAGGGACTCGGCGGATATTTGAATGCAGCGGGTCAATTTTTTAATTTTTTCTCTTTTTATGATTTGTGGTTTAGTTTTGGATTTTATTAGTTTAAAACAATGAAGATTTTTTTTGTTTCTAAGTGGTTAGGTGTTGACTTTGTTTTTAAATTTAAGAGTGAAAAACTATACTGTAAGAGTTAGTTTAGTGAGTAATCGAATCCAAATTTTTATATCATCACCATTCAGACAATGATATTAAATTAGTCTCCGATAATCTCTGATTAGTTTCCGACTTTTTTACTAGGAGCAAGATTCAACCTAAGCGCATGACTAGCGCCTACCAGAATTTTAAACATGGACATTAACTTACTAATTAATAATGGAACCAAAAAGCATATTTAGTATGCCTTAATTTTTTTTTTTTGAATATCAGGAGGTTCTAGGCCAAAATCCGTAATGCCCTCAGACCAGAAACCACAGCATGTAATATTAGTTTCGTTCCAAACGTCACTCGAACCAGCGACCTCTAAGCTTTGCCTAGAATCTTTACCGGTTAAACTAACGGTAACTAAAACATTTTTAGTATAAACAATATACTAGATTTTCCTCGGCGAATAGACAAACAAAGTTATTCACAAAACAAAAAGAGAGAGTGAAAATAATTTATAGGAAAAGTGGAAGCTATGTCTGTACAGTCCACCACCAACCCAACCAAACCCATCACATCAGTCTCATCTCTGTAAATCTCTTTTGATTATTGCTTTTTTTTCTCCGACCCCTTTGACATTATTTACAGTTTTGTATAAACACACTAATTATTTGCCTTTTCTTCACGTTAAAATGCATTCGTTTTTTTTTTTGTTTGATGAACTAAGTATCGAATAAGGTTCACAATTACGTCCGTAAATTACCAATCACACGTTAATTGCTTAAAATCTATGTTTAAGAAAGTGTTAGCCACTTCACAAATAATTTTTAAGCTTAGTCACTTTTAAACGACCTAACGTTTGTAAGATCAAATACGGTATCAATTTATTAATTAAAAAAAAAGCTCTTCTTTGATCTCTTTGCTTCATTTTTCTAACTTCAACCTTTGCATTAACGTTTGGACTTGTTTGCCATATAACACAATTTTGGTCAAAGTTGACAAAAAACTTGCTGTAAAAGTATAAATGAGTGATGTGTTTTTTTTTTTTTAAATGTGAAAAACACAGTATGAAAGAACCTGAGAATTTCTGTAAAAGTCCCCTGATGTTATTTCGTTCGTCGATGGAATATCAATGATCTTCATGTAGAACGTAACATCATATAAAATTAAGAAAATAAAGGATTATAAATAAAATCGAAACCACAAAAAAATGAGTAAAAATTGTAAAATGTTACAAATATGTTCGTTATGACTTATGAAATAGAACACCATGCAGTTGTTATTATTAGTCAACGTTTGGGTCGAGTACAATGGCCCACACGACCAATAGGACAGTGGTTAGAAGTTAGTAAATGGTTACGTGTTTCCAAATTTTCAAAGCTCATAATCAAAATCATACTCCAACTTTATTGTCATCTACACAAATTTATAACCATGACTTGTCCGACTAGGACTAAAGTCTTGGCCGTTCGACCCCGAAAATAATACGTTTCATAATCTGCATATATACGTAAAACCAGCTTCTAATAATTATCATAACATCTCTTTTTTTTTTTTTTGTCAAACTTTATCATAACATCTCTAAGTCTAGAGTATATAACTCATCATTCTCCGACTTATACAATTATTGTTGTAACTATTACGCTTTTTAGGCATCTACAAATTATTGGCGTATCTTTAATAGGTCAATGGTTCTTTATTTCATCTCTATCTTCAAAACTAAAATTGTAAAATCAAGCTATAAATATGAGACCAATCGATACTTTTCCAAATACTAAAATCAAAAGTAGAATAAATTAGTACATCTCATAAGGAAAAATAAAAATAAAAGAGACAAGTTAATTCAGATATTGCAAACTTATATGTAAGGAACAGAGTATGCAGTACGACACGAGTACATATGCGGCTTTGTAGTGAAAATGGGAAAAACTCCAAACCATAAATGCTTTTACTACTTTTTACATTCGTTTTCTATAATAATATTATTAATTTGTTTTCAATTTTTTTATAATATGGTCCTGCTGCATACTTACACGTGCAAGTACGATATAAATATTAATCATGATTTTTATTGATACCTTACAAAAATTAATAAATTATCATCAAAGAGCAATAATGAAAATCTACATAGCTGTCGAGGGACAAAAACCTATGGGTCCAAACAAACATGCATAACCAGACAAACAAAGTACTTAGGATTTGTTTTGTTAAGAGAGATTTGTTTGAAAATAAGGGGCAAATCACTGATTTTACTGATAACACAAAATGGATCCAAAACAAATATCCATCACTCACAATTATTTTTGGCGGATTTTGTCAAATAATTCACCAAATGGAGTTTCAAAAGACAGAAAAAGAAGAAAAAAAATTAATCAAGGGATTTAATTCACAACAGTCCAAAAGATATTTGAACATAGTCTTCTCTTTTCATTTTATATGTTTTTTAAATTTGGTTAAAAGTTGGTTAATAAATTGTATACCGTTTTGTCTATTTCTATATGTTTTTCACATTTAAATAACGAAATTGTGCTAGTTAGTAGTTACCATTCAAAATATTGTTACAATGTTTATGTTAATAAAAAATTATTTCTAGGTGTTCAAATATATAGAGGTGTAAAAAATAACTAAAACAACACTACGTCACTAATCTAGTAAAACCTAATTTTTTTAACGTTTTACTATTATTTTACAGAAATTCTATTTAGCTAAAATGTTTTTTATCATTACGATATAAAGATATTTCACTATTTATACCCGTCTAAAACCTTTGTCATTTCATGTTACCGATTACAAACGATTTGTTTTGTGTATGACAGTTTTATTTTCTTACAAGTTATATAACAAAGAAAAGATAGAAACACTACCTGAATTAGACATCTGCAATATCAATTGGTTCTATAATGAAGCAAGTGTCATTAGGGTAAAAATGATGAGTACTCTCTTTCTTTCTCGGTACTATCACCCCTCACAAATTTGCCTTTTCCCAAAGTCCTCAATTTCTTCACATGACCAATTTTTTAATATTAACATATAGATTTCATTACAATAATTAATCAGACAAGCACAAGAAATGAGGAACAAAAAACAAAACAAAAAGAATTAAAACACTTTTTTTTAGTTGAATTGTTTAATAATTAATCAAAGTTTAGGGCATGAAGAGCTTGCTGCCACACTTGCACCGCCAAGCTTCAGGGTAATACTCCAATGGCATACTTAAACCGGGTTGAATCGGTACGTGAACCGGTTTACACGGCTGACATTTCCCACACTTCGATCTACACGTCGGTGGTGATGAACCCGGACCACCAAACCGCTTATTATTCTCCACGAACCCACCCGGTAAATCAGACCCGGTTCTCTGACCAATCCATCTACCATCTGGTAAATAAATTTAACCACCACTGAGTTAACTCGCTCACCATTTACACATCAAAAATATATAACCATTGGACTCAAAAAAGATAGCTTGTGTAATAACTCGAACCAAAATTTAGTAAGAAATCAAGAAAATCAAGAAAAGTTCGAGTTCGAGTTGCAAGAAAAAATAAATCACATATTTATTGGGTTCTTACCGGCGGGGACTACGGAGGAGGTGGAGAAGAGGTGGAGGAGAGCAAATGCGGCGAGTGAAGCTAAAAGAAAGCGGCGGCGGCGGCGACGGAAGGCTCCCATTAGTCAAGAACCGGCAAGGATGCGTACGTTAGCAGAGAGACAAGTGTTGTGGTTAAAATTGTGTGTTTTATTTTTCTCTGTGAGAGAGATTTTTTTGGGTTTATGTTTGAGTGTTTGGGGTTTGGGGTTATTCATTTTGGTCTTAAGTCAAAAGAAGCTTAGATAGAGAGTGTGTGTGTGTGACTGTGAACAGTAGAATAGACCCATGAGCTTGGATTTGGAATCCAAGTATTAAATTCAAATTGCTATGTCTTTTTTGTTTTGTTTTCTTTCTTTTTGACTGTATTTTTTTTCTCATGATTTTATATATTCAATTATACTTTAGTGAGAGTGTTCACTTAATTATTAACCTTCTTTTGTTGCTTAACATTATATATTTTTAAAAGTATGTTTTATAAAGATTCTATAACATTTCTTATTCCATTCCTATAACTTGCCCTTCCTTAAATCAAACTATGGTCATTGGGATTCTCTTTAAAATCCAGAGAGATAATATCCTGAAAAGTGAAAGTTCAAACAATAATATAGAGGTTCTAAATTAACAATTATGACAAGTAATTAAATAGTTGAGCAACTAATGAGTGGGGCTCAGAGTGTAGGCAAAATAAATAGGTTGGGCTTTATGGAAAATTCTGGTCAGGTTTTCTTTTCATGTTTCTTTTTATTTTGGCAACCTTTTGATGTTTCTTTTTCTTTTTAGGTTTTCAGTCCTACATTACAATTATTTTATTCATTTTCTTTCTTGTGTAATGTTGATATGTATCTCTCACTTCATTTCTATAAATTAGTTTCAGCTTTTTAGTATATTTTGGTGTCACGTATCTCCTACTCGTTTTGTCATATCGTGTAGGGGCCTTGACTCTTCTAGCATGATCGTATCCGGAGATACGTAGAGACATGCACACGAATCTGGAGTTGGATATATGATAATTTTGTATTATATTCAAAATATATATACTCCGGATTATGATTTTTTTTTGCATTATAATCCTTATTTAGCAGTTTATATCATATATACTAGGGTCTAGTTAGTGTACACCCTCAATCGAAGTAGAATGATTCGAATTAATCATGGCAAATCATTCAACAACTACTAGAACATTATGAGTTGATTTTGTTAAGAATCTTACATCATAAAAAAACATGGGATATGAAGTAAAATATAAGGAGTATATAAATCAATGGACTCAGTACTGTCAAGTGGTTTTTCAAGTTGAAAAGTTATGACCAAACCAAAATAAAACGAGTTTCGATCCAAAAAGATTAGTAAAAATGATTCATTATCTCAAATGGGGGTCAATATATTCGTCGTCATTTGGTTTTTAATTGAAAGTTTATGGGAAATAAAGAACTACAAAAAATTTAAAACCAAGATATCAAAACTGACTATATGTCTATATGATTTGTAAATCTTTTTGATAAAGTCCAAATTATTGCATAAATCTTTGACTATATGTGTATGTATGTCAGTAAGTGGAACATGGGTTGTTGCTAGTTTATTTCTTTTAATGGTTGATCATGAGAGATTGTTTTATGCTTTTGATCGGACTTCTAGCTATCATTTATTTTGAGACAATAGATATCAAAAAAAGATTTGTCCACAAAAGACAGCAAATAAGGTTGGGTTGTTTTGCGGTCGTCCAATTGTAGTCACCATCAAATCGCAAGAACCATAAAACAAAGATGAGGCCCAAGAAAAAGACTGACATGATGTAAATGGGCCTATGATAAGATGAGGCCCATTAAAGGATGGTAAGTGTCCCTACAAAGGGGGAAACAGGTCCTGACTCACTGACTCATCCTCTGTACCCGACCCACGCACTCGCGACCCCTCTCCCTGCACATACATAACATGTACGGTTCTTCAATCACTATTTCATCTTTTTTTTTTCAATAATCATTTTCACATATTATAGTAGTAGTTTTCATATTCACAAAGATGAATACATATACACTATATTAGAGATATCTCGTGTATCTTGCAGACCAACTATTATATACCGTCAAAGTCTGTCTATGAAGTGAGGCTCGTGAAACAGACTTTGATGGTCCATAATGGTTAGTCCGTAAGATACACATATTGGTCTCCAAGATATCTACAATATACTAACTATAGTTCTTAGTTTAGATATCTATATCTAAAACGCTCAAAATGTAGAAGTGTAATTTGAATACAATTTTTTTCTATAGTGGTTTAATGTATACTACTTTTGTTGGTGTGTCATAATCTATTTTTTTTCTAAATTTTCGAATATACGTGAATGAGTTGTAGAATTTGTTTTTTTTTTAATAATTAATCTAAAAAGTAGACCATTAAGTTTGTTAGGATTCAACAATATGAATTGCAATCCTTACTTCACCTTAATCGCAAGATCTTCAGCTCGATCAAACACATTCAACACAATAACACGAATTCAAAAAGACCAAAAAAAGAAAGAGATATTAGAGAAAATAAATTGACATATATAGAAGTTTAGCAGTTCACCAACAAAAATGGTGAACTACGTCAACTTAGCATCACAAGATTGTTCTAATCAATGGAAGTTTACAAGTTTATAATCATCTTCACTGATGAATAAACCTATGGTTATTAGTAATAACTCATTACCAAACCAGTAATTCGACGACTAACAATAAGCTAGTAGTTTACTTACATGTTATATTCCAAAACCTCTTATATTCGTGGTCAATTACAAACTTTCAATATTGATTTTTTTTTTTTTGAAGAACATCATAATTAGGTCAACAATATATAGTTTAAAAACCTTTAAGAAAAAATAAATTTGGGTAGGGTTTGGTGAGTGGTGTCGATAGAAATGGCTGATGCATTCTTTAGAGATTAAAGGCATGGTACCAACTTGGATCCATTTCTTCGATAACGACTCTTCCTATTTCCACTCTTTTTTTTTTGTTTCCCTCTTCTTTATCTTATTTCTTCCACTACTCTCAATAGTCAATTCTATATCCCAATTTTACATTGCTGTCAACTGGCTAGAGGGGTATTGTAACAGTGCTACCGGATATGATCGGTCGAGTCTTAAGTGCTATATATATATTTGGAAAGAGATGATTTACTTTGTAAATTCTTTATAATTATCATCAAATGAATCAATAGTACATTTTTTTGGTAAGCCGAATCAATAGTACATTGATAATATGGTTACTTATATAATCAATTATCGGGACATCACCATATGAATATTGTAATGTAGAATGTAATCATGTATCAATGTATGGATGACGAAACTGTATTTTAAAGAAGTTTTTAACTGTTTACTTATTCATGCATGGACATCTTGCCAATTACGAGCATTGGATGAATCCTTATCGAACATCACGAGTATAATTATATGTATCATGCATTGTTATCAATTACTCCCTCCGTTTTCGAATAGTTGTCGTTTTAGAGTATTTTTTTTGTTTTAAATTAGTTGTCATTTTAAGGTAATAATGTAACTTATGCCAATAACTACCCAAATTACCCTCATTTAATTAAACACAAATTATTTGTAAATAATTACTTGTCATTTTTATGAGGTTAATATAGTCATTGTATACCTTTTCTTAATTTGTCTAAATACAGTTAAAACGACAACTTTTAAAAAACAGAGGGAGTATCACTTTATATGAAATAAATATTGGATAATGAGAAGGGATGTCACGCAAGACCAAGCAAGGTTTATGGGAGAATCGATATTGGTCAGACTCATGTGAAAATATATTTCTCCACCTTTAATTCGTCTTGTCAATTTATTACTCTATCTCTTGTATTTTTCAATTGTTTTGGTATTCACTTCGGAAAATGACTACTCTTTGTTTTTTTAGTGGTGAGACATTTTTCATTTACATGCATCAAAATGATCTACTATAAATATTGATTGACAAGATTTTTGGTATAATGGTTTGTGCTAGTGTTTTTGTTATATTACTATCCAAATTCAAATATTCATAGCACATGTTGTTGACAAAAAAGCTAAAACCATTTTAATAATACCAACTAGTAAATTGGCTTAATAAACTATATTGATGTTTATAAAATGTTTTTTTTCTTAAGGAAAACATGCATAGATATTTTATTTTTAGGATTTGATTGGTTATAGATCCATCTAGGATTTGATTATCATAGATCTATTACATTGAAGATTAATATGTTTGCAAAATGTTTGGAATGATTTTCTGTTTGCAAAAATCGGCGATGATTGCGTGATATATGAGTGGAAGTGTTGCAATGCTAGATTCTCCCATAAAGTCCTTGTCTCAACATCTTTTAAAAACATTCAACATCTGTCATGGAACTTTCCGATATAACATTTCCCAAAGCCTTGTTGATAGTCCGAACAAAAAATTCAAACAGTATCCTATCATTGTCTCTCGAACCAAGCATAGAGATAACATATATAATTAATGTTAGAATTGCATGGTTCCACAGACGATGATAGAATAAGGAAAAAAAAAAGGTTAGATATGCAACGTTGAGTTTTCAAAATAAGTATTTCACAAAAAATGTTATTTTACATTTTTTCACACATATTAAGAAAACTATTAAAATTTTTACTATACTTTTTATTTATACACTAAACAACATTATTTTTTATTAATATATTAAAGAAATAGGGTTAAAATAAATTTTTAATCAAAATTTTGCATTAAAACGATAATCTTTGTAAAACGGAAAGAATATAATTGATCAACCAAATATTATATTTTGAACCAAAATTATATATAGACCGAGAAAAAGAAAAAAAAGAACGTTTTGTTAATAAATGTTCATTCGAATTATATAAAAAAACTTGTAGCTGGTTGATTTTTTTTCTTTTTGGTGATATTTGTCTCCCGTATTTTATTAAAATATGAAAATAAACTACATTACACACGGATTAGCCTTGGTCGTGTTGACCCAAGACTATCCTCTCTCAAAATCGAATCCAAAGTGTTCGGAAAAGAATCAAATGAATGAAAACCTAACGAAAGAGAAAACGCATAGTTAGCTAACCCATCCGCAAGACGATTAACTTCTCTATACACGTGAGAAATCCGGACAATCCAGTCTTTCAATAAAAAGTCGTGGCACAGTCGTACCAGAAATGACAGCGGATGTTGATCACTTATCCCTGTCTTAAGAAACCCAACCACCATTGCTGAGTCTACCTCCAACTCCACTCGGGGAATTTGTTTTTCCCATGCTAGAAAAAGCCCATAGTAAACCCCCCCCACAGCTCCGCTAGCTGAGCTGAACATCTTCCTATGTTTAAAGCAAAACCGTCACACCAGTTTCCTTCTCCATCCCGTAGAACACCACCCGCCGTAGCTAGACCAGGGTTCCCATGAGAGGCTCCATCCGTGTTAATCTTAATCCACCCCGCACACGGGGCTATCCAGCCGATCAATCTCTCCACTCTAGGTCGCACCCCTCCGCTTGTTTCATTACTTGCATTTGCCAAATAGACCTCCTTAGCTACATCTTTGACAAATTGCACCCTATCTCGACATTTTCTATTCTCACTAAAAACATTCTCGCATCTCCACTTCCAAGTTCACCAAGATGCCATCGCAAAAACCGTAGCCCAAGAAGTCTCTTCGAACATTACTCCATCACACAGATTATCATAGATCCATTCAAACAAAGACTTAGCAAAGAACTCATGCTGCTTCCGTTGCGGCACAAATCTTCTCCAAATCCCGAACATAGCCGGACAGTGTAGCTGGTTGATCTTCTACTAACTAATAATCGTATAAGTAGTAACATGATATTCCATTGTTTAGAGATAGATAACTAATCAAGAATTGTAAAACCAAATAAAAAAACACTAACCAAGAATTGATGATTGTCCAAAGTATAGTATACAAACAAAAAACAAAAGATATTTTGTTCTATTTTTGGAATAACTCTTATCCATTTATAGAAATAATTAGTTATTAATCAAAATATCACATGCAAATTGATTGTATGCGATTTTCAATAAATTGACATCCACTCACTAATAAACAAACAAGATAGTAGTAGTAGATACTCTATTTCTAATTATAAAAATAATCTCTGTTTTTACGTGTAATTTTTCTTTGTCACTCATTGCTATTATTATTTTAAAATTCAACATAAAACTGGTTAACCTTTTATTTTATTCCACTGTTTAACGCACAAACTAATCAGCAGAATATTTACAAAAAAATAAAATAAAATAAAAATAATTGGGACACTTAGCAGACATGATTAGGCTATAATAATAGAGAGACTAGTAGGATGCTTACGTGGCAGTCTAGGGAGCTTCGCTGCTCCAAAAACCATTCCCCTAAAATTGAAGCCCATAGAGAGACTATTAGCGACTTCACTCTTTTTCTTTTCTTCTCTCTAGCTCTTCTAATTTTGCCCTCAAAACCCTCCAATAATTACGAAAACGCCACTGCTCTCTCGTCGGGGCTCCGGTGAGGCCGTTTGGCCGGAATCTGACAAGGATATGGATGTTGGAGTGTCTCCGGCGAAGTCTATACTTGAGAAACCTCTGAAACTTCTCACTGAAGAGGACATTTCTCAGCTTACTCGCGAAGATTGCCGCAAATTCCTCAAAGAGAAAGGTTTCTTCTTCCTCCTTCTCCATTTTTCCCGGTCTTATTGACTTCTCCGGGAGGATCTCCCTCACGGATTTTGAAGAGAAGCATCGTACATAGTCAATTTTTTGAAATTCTCTCGGAGCTTTTTTTTTTGCTTGTTTTTCTCGAGAATGGCGGCTGACACGTGTCGAAACAGGAATGCGCAGGCCTTCGTGGAACAAATCTCAGGCGATCCAGCAAGTTTTATCCCTTAAAGCTCTCTATGAGCCTGGAGACGATTCCGGCGCCGGAATCCTCCGCAAGATCCTCGTTTCTCAGCCGTCAAATCCGCCTCGGGTTAGTGTTTTTCTTTACTTCGATTCTGCTTCTATTTCCCGTCGATTCGCATAGATAAAGAAGTGAAAATCTAAGTGAGAATCGTTTACTTGGTTGGTGCTGATTTTAGGGGAAATTGTTGGTTCTGTGTGTACTTTTTGGTCACAGGTTTCAACAACGTTGATTGAGCCAAGCAACGAGCTCGAAGCTTGTGGCCGGATTCCAGAAGATGACGGCGTGTGCCATAGAAGGGATTCTCCAAGATCAGCTGAGTTCTCTGGTAGTTCTGGTCAGTTTGTTGCGGATAAAGATAGCCACAAGACTGTTTCCCCCAGGTTTACATTTTCTTCTTTGAATTGATGTGATGCATTGTGATCTTAGGAAGTATTTGGTTTGATATCACATCCTTAGAGATAGAAAGTTTCTATATGGATCATGGCTTTGATGGTGGATTGGTCACACTGAATTTAGGTTAAACGAGTCAGATAGAGGTTTAATTTCTATCTGTAGTTGGTGTTTCAGGAAGATCTTTTTGGTTCTGTCTTACTCTTTACTCTTCTGGTTGGAGGATTGGTATGACTTGATGTGATTATTTATTGCTAGTGAACGAAAAATCATTTACTTAGTCCATTAGTTAATATGATTTGTGAATTCTGCAATGGTTTCTTTTTACGAACAAGAGTTTTAGGGTAGTCCATGTACGAAGGCTTGTTGATATTATGTGCATGTCTTATAATTACTACTCCGATGCTATTCAAACTAGTTGTTTTAAGGTCTGAAATGTTGCAGCAGAAGCCCAGCTGAAACAAGTGCGCCGGTTGGGCAAATGACGATATTCTACAGTGGCAAAGTGAATGTATATGATGGAGTACCACCTGAAAAGGTAAATGAACAACATTATTTCTGTCCAGCCTGACAATATATAAATTTGGATGGCATGTTTTTGATCATGCATCCTGTACATTGGTTTGCAGGCGCGGTCAATCATGCACTTTGCAGCTAATCCAATTGATTTGCCTGAAAATGGTATTTTTGCTTCTAGTAGAATGATTTCGAAGCCCATGAGTAAAGGTAAGCTTTTGCTAAAGTGTCTGATCTGCTTTTTAGTTGATAGATAGATGATTCAGACTTGAAATGATTTTGTTTTAAGTGTATAATCTAACTGGAAAAATGAATACAGCTGCATCTCAAGATGAGTCTTTCTTTCTTTTTGTTTTGTCAAAGACAGCTTTTATTTTGTCCAATTTTGAAAGGAGGCATTGTTAAATGACCATAGAAGCATGTCTAAAAGCTGTAATGGTGCTGCTACCTCAACTAGCTTGTGTGTCTACAGATGCCTCTTGCCCCCTTTTTGATAGCAACTTTTGATGTTCATCTTTTTTAAAGCATCTGAAATTGTGATTTCATTTTGCAGAGAAGATGGTGGAGGCTCCCCAATATGGCCTTGAAAAGACAGCTGCTTCTCGTGATTCCGGTACAAACTGTGCTCAGATTACCTTTAAGATTCATATAGAAGCTTATTATTCTAATGATGCATAAAACACCTGAGAGCAAAATTTGATCTACCTCTTCACCTCTACACGCTATGCTAATTGTGTTTACTTAAGGCAGATAAACTTGACTTGCTTGTTCTGTATGACCTGGAAATTCTGTTAATTTAACCATTGATCTTTTTGTTGGTCTTTCTGAAGATGTGGAGGGTCAGGCGAACAGAAAAGTGTCGTTGCAAAGATATCTTGAAAAGCGGAAAGACAGGTAGTTGTTACAATTATGCCGTGTGCTTATATTCCAAATCGCTGAATACTGATAACCTTTATTTCTGAGCAGAAGATTCCCTAAGACTAAGAAGGCTCCAGGATTTGCGTCCTCTAGCTTGGAGATGTTTCTGAATCGTCAGCCACGAATGAACGCTGCATATTCACAAAACCTTAGTGGCACAGGGCTCTGCGAGTCACCTGAAAATCAAACAAAAAGCCCCAATCTCTCAGTTGATCTAAACAGTGATCTAAACAGTGAAGGTATGAACAAGCATTTGTTAAATGGTTCCAACGATCTCCCTCAAAACTCTCATTCGCTTGTTTCTAGATAATTAACAAGGTGCCAAAAGAACTGGAGATGGTATTACGGGTCAAAAGGCGCGCTTTACACGATGAACAATTTCATGTTCTTTTAACAAGTTAGCCATGTACAAAAGGAACAAAAGCAAACAATGAATGTTCTCGTTCATTGTGGAAGAAACATGGCTTAATGATTTGAGCTGGATCAGTACGGGTCTTGTCTTGTTTTGTTTTACGGGTTTCGTCCATCTTTTTTGGTCTGTAGTTTTTTGAGTAGGTTAGAGAGACGAGAGAGAGAGAGAATGTGGCGGTTTCTATTATGTAAATGCTTGTCTTATAATGAGAGACCTTATTGATACCACCAATCTTTGAGGTTCCAAGTAACAACTTCTTTGTGATTGATATGTATGATGAGATAAGCCCTTGGTTTGCAATTTTTCTATCTAAAGTTACTGTTTGTTTTTACCCCAAACAAAATCGAAAACGCATCTCTAGGGGTAGTTTAGTCTTTTGACTAATTTTTTTTTTATATTGGTCTCTGTTTTTAAAAAAAAGAAGAACTGAGTAATCGCGTGGTTTTGAAGAAGAAGAAGGAATAAGGCATAACGAGGAAGACGATGGGTGAAGCGATCAAGGTATGTTCTTCTCTGCTTCTGATTTGGTTTTCCTAATCGATAATTCATAGTTTTCGCGATGCAAGCATGAATCGCCGATTGATTGTTCTCCGTTTAGGTTCCGGTTTGTGATTTGATTCATTTTCGACGAATTTCGAATCATCACTACTTAATTTGCTCAAATCTTGCAATTCGTATTGTATTTAGTTTTGAAATTGAAGATTTTCTCGAATTGTTTGAAGTTTTATAGCTAAAATCAGATTTAATATCTGAACATTGCCCTCCAAGGAATCTAATCTCTTTTTGATGTGCTTTTGCTTAGGATGGAAGAGAAGAAGTGATTGAGGCTTGGTACATGGATGATAGTGAAGAGGATCAGAGACTTCCTCACCATAAGGATCCTAAAGAGTTTGTATCTTTGGACAAACTTGCAGGTCTGATTCTGTCTTCAATTCAATGTTGTTCTCTCTGCTTCTCTATAATGTAATGTTTATGTACAGAGCTGGGAGTACTTAGCTGGAGACTTGATGCTGAGAACTACGAAACTGATGAGGATTTGAAAAAGATCCGCGAATCTCGTGGTTACTCTTACATGGTTTGTTTACATAGACTTGAATGCTAGATGTTTACTTTTGTACATGTCTTGTTTTAACTCGTTAGGGGTTTTACTCAATTGTAACACTTACTAAGCTGAATGTGTTTAGGGAAATTAGTTGATGATTCGCAAACAGTTTTATGTGCTTGAGTCTTGGTTTGATGATGGAGAAGTGTTTAAATTCAGGACTTTTGTGAGGTATGCCCGGAAAAGCTTCCAAACTATGAAGTGAAAGTAAAGAGCTTTTTCGAAGAACATTTGCACACTGATGAAGAGATCCGTTACTGCGTTGCAGGAAGCGGTAAGTACTTTTATTGGCTGCTTTACTTGATTAAAGTCGATATATAGATTCTCAATGTTCCATTTCCGTGGGAAAAAGGTTACTTTGATGTGAGGGATCGCAATGAAGCTTGGATTAGAGTATGGGTAAAGAAGGGAGGTATGATAGTCTTACCTGCTGGAATATATCATCGTTTCACTGTGGACTCCGACAACTATATCAAGGTGCAATGTCAGCTTCTTCTAGCCATTTATTGATGTATTTTGGGTTTGCTTAGAAAAATTGAAATATCTTGTTAAAAATAGGCAATGCGGCTTTTTGTGGGTGAACCGGTGTGGACACCATACAATCGGCCACACGACCATCTTCCTGCAAGGTACACTGTCCTGTTTCTCCTCATTTTGTCTAATCAAGCAAGAAATTCTGTTAATTTACGGGCAAGAAATATTGATATTTTACAGGAAAGAATATGTCGATAACTTCATGATCAACGCCTCCGCTTAGAGAACTGTCTCTCTCTCTCTCTCTCTCTATCTGGCTTTCTGAAATCAGGATCTATAAACAAGGCCTACAATAAAGAAAGCTTTCCTCTCAAGTATTGGATATTTTTTTTTTTTTTTTTTTTTTAGGTATTGGATATTTATATGTATGCATGTGGAAAATGCTTACTTTTGGTATGCTTGAGTTGTTGTAAACTTAGTTACACTCTCTGATACGTCTCTCTTTACCATCTTTGTCGTATCCGATATACGAAAAGACTACAGTGGGATCGTATACGTTCGTTTCTGTATGTGCAATATGTCTATCTTTTTTATTTGCTAATAAGTAGTAAGAAGATACGATCGTTCTTGTCAGTGTATCTCTACCTCTCTGGTTTACTCTGAATCATGGTTTCTTTGGTTGTTGTTGTTGTCTATCTAACTTGTTAACGGTTTCTAAGGCAGAAAAATGTGGTTTCGTGGTTAAGAGTCTTAAGACTTAAAGAGTAGAGAATAAATCATATTTTATTCTCCTATTTGTATGGATGACAATATACAGTAGTTGAAAGAAAATACTAAATCGGATATAAAAGTTCACTTAGCAAGTTTAGCAGCCATGATTAAGGCTTATAATAATTAGAGCTTACGTGGCAGTCTAGGGAGCTTCCCTCTTCCGGGAACAATTCCCCCAAATTGACTCCCATAGGAAAACTATTCGACCTCAGTCTCTCTCTCTTCACTGCTCCGCTTTCTCTCATTGTTCCTAATTTTACCCCCAAATCCTCCAATTATTACTGAAACGCCACTGCTCTCTCGCCGGGATTCCGGTGAAGAGGCGGAGATGGATGTCGGAGTTTCGTCGGCGAAGTCTATACTTGCGAAGCCATTGAAGCTACTTACTGAAGAAGACATTTCTCAGCTCACTCGCGAAGACTGCCGTAAATTCCTCAAAGACAAAGGTTTCTTCTTCCATTTTTTCCGGTCTTATTGTCTTCTCCGGGAGGATCTTGCTCTCGGAGTTTGCGTACTTCAGTTAATTTTTAAATTCTCTACTCTCTCCGAGCTTTTTCTGCTTGTTTGTTTATTCCGAGAATGGCGGCTTACACGTGTCGAAACAGGAATGCGAAGGCCTTCGTGGAACAAATCTCAGGCGATCCAGCAAGTTTTATCCCTCAAAGCTCTCTTTGAGCCCGGTGACGATTCCGGCGCCGGAATTCTCCGCAAGATACTCGTTTCTCAGCCGGCAAATCCGCCTCGCGTGAGCTATTTACTTCGATTTTGCTTCTATTTGCCACAGAAAAAAGAAGAAGTAGTGAATTCTAGTTTCTGAAGTAGTAGAGAATCGTTCCTTAGTTGATACTTATCTATGGATATTGTTGCTATGTGTACTTGTGTCTACAGGTTACAACAACCAACGAGCTTGGAGATTGTGGCCGGATTTCTTTTCAGGAAGATGACGGTCCATGCCAAAGAAGGGATTCTCCAAAATCAGCTGAGTTTTCCGGCGGTTCTGCTAAGTTTGCAGCGGAGAAAGATACCTGCAGGTTTACATTTTAGTCTTTGAATTTAAGCGATACCTATCTGCTGGAATGTTGTTTAGGTCAAGACAAGAGTGACATTCTTAGATATAGAAACTATATGGATCATGGTTTTCATGGTGGATTGGTATGACAGTATTTAGGTTTAATTCACAACCTTTCTACGAATGCAGTCATAGAGGTTTATCTGCAGTTGTAGTTAGTATATCCAGGTCTTCTTTGTTCTATCTTAGTCTTCTTGATTTTGGTGAAAATGAACTCATTTCAATGACAGTCAATAGGAATGATGATACTTGAAATGATCATTGAATAGTATTCATTCCACAATGGTTTCTTTTTAATTTAGAGGGTTTTTGTGGTAAATCATCTACGAAAGCCTAGTATAAAGTTTTGCTGACATGTGCCTGTTGTTATATAAGCGAACTAACCACTCCAATGCTGTTTACTTGTCTGTAATGTTGCATCAGAAGCCCAGCTGAAACGAGTGCGCTGGTTGGGCAAATGGCGATTTTCTATAGTGGCAAAGTGAATGTGTATGATGGAGTACCACCTGAAAAGGTAAATAAATCTCGTTATTCTGTCCAGCCTGATAATAGAACTTTTGATGGCATGGTTTGGATCATTCATCTTGTGTATTGGTTTGCAGGCCCGGTCAATTATGCACTTTGCAGCCAATCCAATTGATTTGCCTGAAAATGGTATTGTTGCTTCCAGTAAAATGATTTCGAAGCGCATAAGTAAAGGTAAGCTTTTGTTAAAGTGTTTGATCTGTTTTCAGTTGATAGATAGATGATTCAAACTTGAAATGATTTGGTTTTGTGTATCATCAAACTGGAAAAGTTCATGGACCTGCTTTTCTGACGGAGTAGAGCTTTTTTTAATTATTTTCTCTTGTTGCCAAACACTGCTTTTGTTTTGTCCAACTTTGAAAGGAGGCATGGGTAAATTGACCAAGGAAGCATGTCTAAATGTTGCATTGTGCTACCTAAACTACATTGTGTAAAATATGCAAATGCCCCTCTTGCACCTTTTTGTGATAGTGATTCCAGTTTCTTTCTTCAGAGTCGAGTTTGAATTAGTCGAGGATTAAATTGAAATTGTGAATTCTTATTGCAGAGAAGATGGTGGGACTTCCCCAAAATGGCCTTGAAAAGGCGAATTCTTCTCGTGATTCTGGTGTGAACAGTGTTCATATTACCTTAATGTATTTCTGAGAGCAAAATTTGATCAATACATCTTCACCTGTGCAATGCTATGCTAATCTTGTTAACTTGGAGGGGAATAATCTTGACTTGCTTGTTGTTATACATGTTATATGACCTGCAAAGTTGATTAATTTAACCGTCGTTTTTATGTTTTTTGGGTCGTTCTTAAGATATGGAAGGTCAGGCGAACAGAAAGGTGTCTTTGCAAAGATATCGTGAAAAGCGGAAAGACAGGTGCTTTTATATACTAACGCTTATTCCAAAATCGCTATAAACTGATAAGTTTTCTTAATGTGCAGAAAATTCTCAAAGGCTAAAAAGTGTCCAGGAGTTGCGTCCTCTAGCTTGGAGATGTTTCTGAATCGTCAGCCACGGATGAACGCTGCATATTCGCAAAACCTTGGCTGCACAGGATCTCCACTGCAAAGCGAGTCACCTGAAAACCAGACAAAAAGTCCCAATCTTTCAGTTGATCTAAACAGTGAAGGTAAGAAGAGAATCATATGGAGAGCTTTGTTAAAATAGTTTGGATGATTTCCCTCATAACTCTCCTCGGTTGGTCTCCAGGCATTTAACAAGATGCCGAAACGTGGAGATGCTATCACCGGTTGAAACATTTGCTTTCTTATAAGCTCTAGATATGAAGAAACCTCTCTTTCTTTTGTGTTTCCGGGTTGCACCCATAATTTTTGGTCTATAGTTTTGAGTAGCTTAGTAGGTTAGTGGTAAGTTCTTGTTTCTGATTCTTTTTGGCGAGGATATAGTCACAGAGATTAGAGACAAGAGAGGGAAAAATGAAAGAAGATCTTTCATTTTCTGGTTTTGTTATGTGTAAATGCTGTCTTATTTGACACACTTTTAACGAGAGAGAGACCTGCCTGCCTTTTAGCCAAACTGTCTTCTACTCTTTGAGTCTTAGCTTGACACCAAACTTCACTTGTTTGACCATTTCTAACCCATTTTTGAACTTTATCTTTGTTACCTTTTTTACAATACCTTTTTGTGTATGGATGAGTGATTTCTAACGCATTAACATTTTCTCAAAACTTAAAAATGTGTTAAATAGTCTGAAACGGATCTACGTGGAGGCGGCGGCATTTCCCTCGCCGCACGCCGGCGAAAGGAGGGTAGTTTAGTCTTTTAGCATTTTTCTATATTTTTGTCGCAAAAGAAAAAAAACATAAATCGCGTGGATTTGAAGACGAAAGAAGAATAATAAAAGGCGTAACGAAGAAGACGACGAGACGACGAAGAGGAACAAACAACCATGGGTGAAGTGGTTAAGGTAATCGATAATCTCTTGATTCTGATTCTGATTTCGTCAATCTTCATCGGAAAATTTCTTGTTTCCGTCATGAAAACATGAATCGCTGCCGATTAGGTTCGGTTTTGTTATCTACTGAATTATGTTCTGTCTGATTCGTTTTATCGCTACTTCTTTTGCTCATACAGTTATTTAGTTTGCTTGCTTTATCTTTGATGTTACTTAACATATCGAAATTACTTGCTCAAGAACATTTTCTCAATTAGTGTTGAAGTTTTATACAGTGGTTTAATCAAATTGATTAAGTTGTCTTCAATAACTGATCACTATTCCAATTTTTGATTTGTTTTTTCCTTAGCAATAAATTGATGTTTTCTTATTTTCTTTACTTTGTATATCTCGGAGTTTGAAATCTTTGTTGAATTTTTTTTTCTCTTTCGAGCTTAGCATCAGAAATTTATGTTTTCTTGTTGTCTGTGTGTTTTCTGATTAGGATGGAAGAGAAGATGTGATCCAGGCTTGGTATATGGATGACAGCGAAGAGGATCAGAGACTTCCTCACCATAAGGATCCTAAGGAGTTTCTATCTTTGGACAAACTTGCAGGTCTTTGTGTGTCGAAAATGTTCTTCTCTCTGTAATGCTTTCTATTGTCTTTTGTTTTATTTTTTTCTTATGTTTAATGTTTGTGTACAGAGCTGGGAGTACTTAGCTGGAGACTTGATGCTGATAACTACGAAACCGATGAGGAATTGAAAAAGATCCGCGAATCTCGTGGTTACTCCTACATGGTTTGTCTTTGTCACCTTTATTTGATACTTTCTTATATCTTTGTTTGTTATCCCTTAGACTTGATGCTAGATCTTTAGTTTCGGACAAGTGCTGTTTTGAAAATTCAATATATACAGTGGGCTTACTTGATGACGTTCAGCTGCTCAAGCCTTTTCTATAACTAGCCAAGGACGGAACGTAGCAGATTGTAGCGGGTGTGAGTTGGTTAGAGAGCAAGTAGTAGGGTTTGGTTGGGACGTGAGAGTCTGTCATTAACTATCAAATCTCTCTGGTTCGCCTTCCGTTAACATTAACTATTCATAGGGACATAAAAAATCCCTGCCTTTCTCTGTTACACTTTTTGAGCTGAAAGTTTTTACGTTAATCACTTGTTGATTTATAAACATTTTTCTTTGTGTGTTTGTATATTATGCTCTAGTCTTGGTGATGATGGAATAGTGTTTAAATTCAGGACTTTTGTGAGGTATGCCCGGAAAAGCTTCCAAATTATGAAGATAAAGTAAAGAGCTTTTTCGAAGAACATTTGCACACTGATGAAGAGATCCGTTACTGCGTTGCAGGAAGCGGTAAGTACTTTTATAAGCTACTTTACTTGATTAAAGTCGACATATATATATTATCAATGTTTCATTACCTTGGGAAAAGGTTACTTTGATGTGAGGGATCGCAATGAAGCTTGGATTAGAGTATGGGTAAAGAAGGGGGGTATGATAGTCTTACCTGCTGGAATATATCACCGCTTCACCGTGGACTCAGACAACTATATCAAGGTGCAATGTTAGCTTCTTCAAAGTCGTTAATTCATCATATGTATATTTGGTTGCTTAGAAAATCGGAATTTCTTATTAAACAGGCAATGCGGCTTTTCGTGGGTGAACCGGTGTGGACACCATACAATCGCCCACACGACCATCTCCCTGCAAGGTACAATGTTCTGTTTTCCCCTTTTGTCTCATCAAAAGCTTACTCTGCAATTGTTCATCCAAGCAAAGACACGAGAAAACTGTTTACGGATATTGAAACGGCTATTTTACAGGAAAGAGTACCTCGATAATTTCGTGAAGGTGAATGAAGGCGGTGGTGCCATAGACGCGTCAGCCTAGAGGACTCTCTCTCTTAGGCATCAGATTTCTATAAACTAAAGCATACAATAAAGAGAGATTTCTGTCTGGTGTTGGATATATATATGTTTAGATGTTGTCTTTAATGTCATCCACTTATAGTGAAGACACTTTGATTCGTGTGGCTTTGGCATTATGGTTGTGTTGTAATGTTTCATAGCTTGTTACCTTATAACTTACCACTACCTTTATGTCGTCTATATGTAACTCTGTGTAATAATTGGATTGAAGCTACCTACACTCTTATAAAACTATATGAATCAAACTCATAAAAATTAAACTATGCATTACATACCATTCAACAGACAAAAACTCACAAGTAATTGGCCAACCATGGAAGATCCTTATTGTCTTTCAATGCAAAAGCAACATCATCACTTGGAAAATTTAGCTGCAGCTTCTGCAATCTGTGCTTCTCTCCAGGTTCACAGAGAACGATTCTGCATTCCCCAAGATCGCAACCGATTTTAAGAAGAATGTCCCAACCCGGAAAAGCTTCTCCATGGGTTAAGCAAAGAGAAGATACTGATGTTGCCACTCTGTCAAAGCTTGTCTCTGCCATTCCTGTTTTGTAAAGCTCATAAACCATAGCTGTTAAGAAGATCTTACTCAGTTTCGATACGTTCTTCATAACTTGAATATGAGGTGCCTGAAACATCTCTTGAATGGCTACTTCAACATCTGCCATAATCACCAGCTGACTCTTTGCAGTTTTGTTATTATTCTTTAAACGGTAATCCGCTACTTCCGCTGCACGCCTGCATATCTCAAGCGCACGTCTTGCATCTCCTGAAATCGCAGCTACCTTTCTCGAAGCAAATTCAATAGCTGTCTTCTCAAAAGCATCGATTCCTTTCAATCTTGTAGAAATTATTTCTTGTAGCTGCGTGTGGTTATAAGGACCGAAACATAGTCTCTGTATACCCATTCGGCTTGATATCCGAGGAAGCAACTTCTCTGGAAGATCCATAGTGTTTGCTATTCCCAACACAACCAATTTGGAGTTAGGCTTGGTAGGCCAATCCAAAATGTTGTATAAAACAGACTGATTCCTAGTGACTAGAAGATCAAGTTCATCGATGAGAAGTATACAAGGCTTTTCATTCTCTTTTCCAATCCTTTTTCCTTCTGCAAACCTCTCATTCAGAAACTGTAGAGCTTTCTTCCAACCAACACGATGACCACTCATCGCTTCATAGATAACACTGTAAATGTTCTCAGGTGAAGCCAGTTTGAGAACATTGATCTCTACAAAGCAATATGGACTTACGCTTCCCGCTTCAACCTCAGCTTTCAGATTCTTCATTACAGATAGCACACTAATAGTCTTCCCAGTCCCAGGAACACCATGGATATACATACATCTTCCTAAACACTGATCATCCGAGATTGAACCCTTTATAAATGCAGTGATCTCTTCCATTTCTTTGCTTCTACAAGGAAGAGACTTAGGACTTGTAGCCAACAACAAAGTAGCTTTCGCCTTTTCTAACTCATTCTTCTTATAACATCTCACATGTTCCGGAATCCGCTTTGTTCCCACCTTTTCAAGCCCAAAGATACGCCCTTTACGAGTATTCGCACCCGTTAAACCTCTCTTACTCTTCGAATCTCCACGAACCCTTTCTTCATCATCACTATCAATCTCCTCCTCTTGATCACTATCAGAATCTCCATCAGCCAATTGAGCCAAACGCTTGAAACTATGGCAATGCACATCATATTCATACTCACATAAAAACACATCATCACCATCATTACTCGCTTTCGAAAACTCCATAGGACATTTCACAAAACAATGCCTAAGAATACATTTCATCTCTATATCAGCAAAATCATTCGTCAAATAAAGCTCGCGTTTCAGATTATGACGTTGTCTCCCCGAAACTGTCTCTTCAGGTATCATATACCAACGAGCTCTAATCCAATACACACAACCACCATCATCAGCAACTTCTTGTTTCCACAGTTTCTCGATTCGAGCCGCCCATAAATCACCGGAAAGAAGCTTCTCCCTCATCGTTCTTTTCGCCGATTTCTTCTTCCCTTGTGGTTGTGGTGGCTTATGAACCTGACAGAATTGACAGATCCAATCACCTTTCGGAACATCTTTCAATGGCGGTTTCAAGCAATTCAAATGAAACCCGCCTAAACAATCATCACATTCAATCATTATGCTAGTATCTGATTTGAAACAAATCTGACAATCTTCGATTTCTGGATCTTCTTCTTCTTCATCTGAATTCGTGTCTTCTCTTCTCTTAACGTAAACATGATCACCGATTTCAAATTCAGTTTCATCGAATTCAACTTTATTGTAATAAACTCTCTTCTTCTTCTTCGTTATCGTCTCAGATCGATTTGGGGATATAGGAGAGAACGAAGCTTCAACATCTATCTTCTTCTTCTTCTTCTTCTTAGGAGTTGTTAGAGTTTCTGCAACAACATCAGTGGTTCGTTTTCTGGGAGTTAGATTGATTTCTTGGATTGATTCTCGTCCCGGAAGATCGATCGGGTCATTTCCCAGATCGATTTTACCGGAAACATGACGAGAAGATCTACGAAGAGGAGTGAGTGTTTTTGGGGTTTGAGGAGTGAGTGAAGTTAAAGATGGAGATAGATACGATTTGCGATATATGTTAGTCGGGGTTTTGGTTGGGGATTGGAAGGTTTTTGCCTTCGAACTCGGAGTAGCAGCCATGGATTGCTCTAAGATGGTGATGCAGAAGGAGGGAGATGGTAACTTTGGTGGGAGAAGAGGAGATTTAGTGAGAAATTTGGCGGGAAATGTTGCTTCGAAGAAGAAGGATAAAATTTTTTGTTACTTTTATAGAAAGACTTTAAATTTGGAAATGAAATTTGGTAAGGGATTCTTTGGAAGAAAATAATATTGGTTTGTTTGAAAAATAGATGATACAAAGACAAAGATTCATTGAATTTGTTTTTGAAGATTTAAATTGACTAATGACTAATGACTGAAATATTTCCTTTTGAGATTTTAGTAGACATATTGATTAGGAGCTAGAATTTTTTAGAGATAAGATTTATTTCATCTAATTACTAATTAATCTTGAGAAACTAAAGGCTGATGATGTTAGTTGGATTTAGTAACCAGTAATAGTTTTTTAGTTGCATAGAAAACAAAAGGTTACCAGTATAAAATTTGATTCCTATAGATAGGTTTTGTATGTTTTGGTTTCGGTTCAATTTTGGTTTGTAAGTAAAATATCTTTTGTTACCAGATTATGATTTATTCAATTTTTTGAACCGTCTTTTGTGGTCCTCAAATCAAATATCAAAATTTGTATATGAATGTTTAGCAAGCATGTGAAACCATTGAAACTCAACAGTCAATCATGTCCAAAATAATACATCTTTAGCAAGCACGTGAATGTTTGCACGTGAATGTTTGCACGTAATGTACCATTCACTATCTAACAAAAAAATAAAACATATGGCATATGCTGAAAAAGAGAGGTCCAGTAACAAGACACTAATGAACAACCTTTTTCATCTCAAATGTTTCATCTTTTTCATCATCATCATCATTCAATTTCAACAGCAGCCTCCGCTTCAGATACATAATCATAACTATAATTAAAAAAAAGGAGTAAGCATTTTCATCGATGTATCAAAAGATAAAATTGTAAACAACATCATAAAATTCCTTTGTTGATTGATCTCACTTAATTTTGCGAGTAAGTTGGTATATCCCTGTCGCTGCCATAGCAACATTAACACTAAACAGGTTCCAGTTTTTCTGTAAAAACAAAAAGTCAAAATCAACAAAAAATTCAGATAAACCAAAACCAAGCATATCCAATCACAAAATCATTACAAAAACTAAAACTCAAAAAGAAAGATAATGGAATAATCCAACTAAGGAGAAGTAAACAAAACTTACAGGAGTAATTATAGTGCTGCAACGACACCAAATCATTCCAGTGCATGTCACAGCTAATACAATAATTATAGATGAAATTTTATTAAAAAAAACTGTAATAAGAAGAAGATTAGAGATATTGTAACATCAAGAGTAGTAGTAATTTACCAATTTGCTGAAGGTATGAAATATTTTCTGGAGGTTTTTGGAAATCTGCAATGTTAGCAATGCTTATACCCCATTTAAATGTTGGAGCCCAGAAATGAACTGTTTAAGACCCACACACAAAAAGAAAGAGTGAAGAAACTTTTTACAGTTAGAATCCATTATACATTAGAGGATTTAAAGTGAGTTTACTGTTGGAAACTTTGCATCAAAAATTCATACATTTTCCAATAGTAACGTTTCAATACAGTCTTAGATTCATAAATAGGTTGGTTAAAACTTAAAAGAATCATCCAAATTGGATTCTCAAGTCTCATCACTTAAAAGAACAAAAAGGAAACTGAAGAAAGAGTAATTATTGATGAAATAATTGTGATTACTCACTTGTCTTTGGTCCTGCCGGGTGATTCCAGAGAGCTTGAAGCTTAGACGTCGCCATCAACTTTTCTTTTCCTCGGAGATTCTCTTTTCTCTGTCTTGTTTTGAGTCTCCCACATAAATTTTAACGAAAAGATGCTACACTCAAAACGACGTCGTATAAGAATATTTCTCTTTTTTTTTTTTTTTTTGGTAAGTAGAATATTTCAATTAAGCCACTAATCCTCTTGATTTTTAATTTTTATTTTACTTTCACAAATATTTCCGATTGGAGCACGAGTCTCTCTTTCTTCGACGGCGCTGGCGATTAGGATGATGACTCTAGGGTTTTAACACCCAACAATGAGTAGTTTTGATTCTGTTTTTGATGGATCCTGTTTCGGGTTGTGTTTTGGATTCCTCCGGTTGTGTCTGGTTTTTGATTTGGGGTCGGATTTTAGGTTCAGTTCTATATGGATTGGATCTAGCAATGAATGGTTTGTCTTTAATGGAGATTTCGTTTGGTTTCATACAAGGCAAGAGAAGGAGTTGATTGGTAGGTCTCTAATGGTCCAAATAGCGGGGAGATCCGATTTCGTTCTGGTTTGGTTTTCTTTACGGCAAGGTACGGATTCATCGACCGTAGCGTTGTGGTGGCCAGATCTTTCCTCTTTTTAAGTGTTTTTTTGTTTGTTCATTAATTCTTTTTTTCTTTTTTCTTTTCGTTCTTGGGAATCATCGACGCTTTGATCGGGCTTTGATCAGACTACTAACCCATGGGCTTCAGAATTGAGATGAGGTGATTTGTTTTTGGTTGAGAGAAGTCGCATTCAATTTCGTTTCGTCTTGGAACAATGGAACTTACTTAACTTTCATTATGGCAGACACATGATGACTCTATCGGTCGATAATAACAAGGGAGCGCATAATTAATTAATAATTATACTTGGCTCTGGCTTCATTTCAAAAGATTGCAAAAACTCTCAAGCTTTGTGGATAGAGGCTAAAAATTATTTTTTCCCTCTTCTTCATTCACATTATCATATAAGAAAAACTGTTGAAGTACTTTTTCAGGTATGTAACCAATAAATAATTTTTGATTCATGTTGACAACTTGACACAGCTTGTAAAACTCATAGTATTTAATGATTTAATCAAAGTATCAAACTATGCGTTACATATCAGTATCATTCTCTCCAAATTTTTCCTTAAACTAGCAAAACAAAGCCTTAGACGAGAGTCCCACCAGTGACGTACTCAGTGAAGGCCAACGCAACGAGACCGAGCATCGCGAACCGACCGTTCCATAGCTCGGCGTCTGAAGTCATGAACCCTTTTGACTTTGACTCTGCCCTTATTCCCTTGAACAACGGAACCATCGATGCCAACGTCAGCAACGCCGTTGTTCCAAGAAACCACCCGACGCCACCGTCGGAGATCTGAGCAAACACGTTTTCTCCCTTGGACAGCTCCACGGCGATGGCCGCCACGAATCCAACCATTGCTAGTCTCCCGTTAATCCTCTCGGGTGCTGGACCGCTAAACGCTAGTAAATCTCCAAACTTCGTACTGACCTAAACAATAAACTAATTATTCAACTCACAAATCTAGTTTTTTATCAACAACAACATGACTTTGATCATTAGATCATATATACCTTAGGCTTGCTAACTGGTGGAGGAGGAGACGGTGGCATTTGCGGCGGAGTGGCCGAAGTCGAGGTCGAGGGCACAGAAGGATCTTCCTTGATAGGATCGCCCTAAGAAATTAGTCAACGTAAGGAACGGTCAGGATTAAAAGTCAAATAAGTAACGTAGGGAAGTGGAAGGACTATGAGGTTGTATATATATATATATATATATGTATACCTGAGCCATGCATCGGACTCCCACCGGAGCATTCCTCTTGAAGAAGAGTTGGTTTGTGTTTTTGATGTTACGTGATTTCAATACACCGGAAGGAGCGGCGAACACTGACTGCATGTTAAACGACGCCGTTGCCATTTCTGATTAGGTTTTCTAAACGCCAAAGATCGATGAAGAAGAGAGAAATGAATAAACTTTAAGACTTGAGAAGTGAGATGGAGTTGGTTTGTTGTGTAACTTAGGATTATCTCTTTATTTATAGAGTTGGTGAAGGTAAATGATAGGTCCAGTATTTTCTGAATTTTATTTATTTATTTATCTTTAGTGATTTATGGGATACTATGATTACTTTTTTTTTTCTTGTTTTTTTTTTGTGGTGTGTAGTAGAGTAATAAGTAGAAACAAATATATCAAAGAAAAGAAAATTTGAATTGAAACTTTTTACTCTTTTGGGATGAAAAAGTTTCCTTACAAAAAATGTTTTCAAACTTATGAGATTTTTTTCCATCTTTATTGTAACACATTAAGGTTATACAAATAAATCTAACTATTTCTCTTGAAAAATCGTTGGAAATGTGAAAACCACCGACGTAGCCATGAAAATTAGTAAAACGAGAGGAAAGTAAGGTTGAGATCAGTGAGAGGCCACGTCTAGTCGAAAAAGTGCAAGTAAATTGTTGACGTGGCCTCCTTCATCACACACAGACACACGTCTTCCTTGTCTTTTTCTGATTGGCCAAGGCCAAGTGGGTTTGGTAAAAACACGTAAAAAATAAGAGACTTGTCTCAAAATATTAAAAACAAGTTAATGGCTCACAATATTCACTTGGGAGATTTGTTTGTGGTAGAGAGAAAACGTATTCAATCTCGTTTCGTGTTGGAACTAGGGATGTCAATTGGGTTGTCCAGGTCTAAATGAGTCTGTCCAAATGGGACCAAGACCAAATAGGACCATGATAGTATAAGCCCAAATAGGACCGTGTCCAATTAAGACCAAACCCAAATAAGACCATGACCAACTGGACAGCCCATGGGACCCAAATAATATAATTTTTGATTTCCCGCCAAAACCGCAAAAACACATTTTTTCTCAAAATCGAAGAATTGCATTTTTCCGCCAAATCGTAAAATCACATTTTTCCGCCAAAACTGTAAAAATATTTTTTGGAGTGAAAATATCAGTGTAAATCCTAATTTTTAAAGAAATAAAGAAAAAAAAATTCTCCAAATTAATAACCCTAATTTTTAAGGCTTATTGAACGGCCCATGTCCAGATGGGTTCGGCCCATTTGTTTGTGGACTAAATGGGCTTCTATCCCATATGGACCGCTTCGAATTTGGGCGAATTTGGGCGAATTTGGGCGTGACCAAATCCGGACCATTATAATTTGGACTGGTCTTGCCCATGGTCACGAAGCCCATTTGACATCCCTAGTTGGAACTTACTTAACTTGGTTATGGCACACCCATGATGACTCTTTTGATCCTTTATGTGTCCCATTCATGGCTTCGTGCCCAATTCTCCTATGTGCACTTGTTTTAAACAGTACTGTTTTTTTACACACTAGAACGGTAAATAACAACACAATTTTTTAGATATGGAATATCAGATTTGATGTACCACCATCGGTAAGTGTGGTCTTTGCTAAAACTCTTAAATAATATATGTCGAGAGAAAACAGATATCCACTAGCTAGTTTTTTAATGGATTTGTAGCCGAGGATAATAAACTTATCGCACATATTACTAACATTTTGTAGTTTCAAATACGAAAAAACTACGACCCATAGTAGTGTGTATAAGGGATATGTAAATACAAATAGTATAGGGATCTATATGTAATTAGTTTCTAGGTTAAGCTTAAGTCTCAGTATATATATGTGTACACATTCTCATTAATAAGATTTCACATTAAGCACTTATATGGTATCAGAGCCTTACGCTCCTAAGACCTAAAACACAAACCTAAATTTTTTTTCCCGCAGCCGTCATCTCTCCAAATCGCCATGGCTGCCCTTGACACCAACGCCAACACCAACGCCAACACTGTCCCACTCACTACCACAACTGTTCTCCACATTAACATGTCGAATGTCACAAAGCTTACAAGCGAAAACTACATGATGTGGTCTCTCCAAGTTAAGTCATTACTCGATGGTTATGGTCTCGCCGGTCACCTTGACGGGACGACCACTGCTCCGTCACCCACTATCACCACTGACGGTGTTACCAGCGAGAATCCAGATTTTGTTCGCTGGACACGTCAAGACCGGTTGATCTACAGTGCGTTGATTGGTGCTTTGTGACCGGTTATTCAGCCTGCTGTCTCACGTACGGTAACAGCTACTCAGATTTGGAAGAAGCTTGCGTCGGTGTATGCTAATCCAAGCCGTGGCCATATCAAGATCATCAACAACCAGATCGATGTCTTCACCAAAGGCACCAAATCTCTTGACGAGTATTTCATGGGGCTTACAACAAAGTTTGATCAACTTGCAACTCTTGGTAAGCCACGTAAACATGAAGATCAAGTTGAACGTATCCTTGCAGGTCTCCCCGAGGAGTACAAACCGGTCATAGACCAAATTGAAGGCAAAGATCAGCCTCCGTCTCTTGCTGAAGTCCATGAGCGCCTTCTCAATCACGAAGTGAAACTGTTGGCTGCGGCGGACAAAATGGCTTTGGCCATTCCTGTTACGGCGAACGTGGCTCAGCAACGTCAACAACACAACACTAATAATCGTGGATACAACAACAACAAGAAGCAATACAACAACAACTATGGTAACTCCTCCTCCTCCCATCCGTAATCACAGCAACGCTCACCGCGTCCCTATCTTGGCAAGTGCCAAATTTGTAACACGCAAGGCCATAGTGCGAGGCGATGTCCTCAATTTCAACCGCAAATGCCAATGTCCACACCGCAGTACAGCCCGTTCCGCCCTTGGCAGCCGCGAGCTAATCTTGCTGTTGGTGGCTCCTACTATGATCCCAATCCGTGGCTCCTCGATAGTGGTGCCACTCACCACATGACCTCGGATCTTCACAATCTGTCACTCCATGAACCATACAATGGAGGTTATGAGGTCATTGTTGCTAATGGTTCCCCGCTGCCCATTACTCACACTGGTTCCAAACTTCTTCCCTCTCAAACACGATCTCTTAATTTAAATCGAGTTTTATGTGTTCCAGACATTCACCGTAATTTGATTTCGGTGTACCGTTTATGCAATACTAATCGTGTATCCGTTGAATTCTTCCCTGCTTCGTTTCAGGTGAAAGATCTTAGCACGGGGGTTCCATTAATACACGGCAAAACTAAGAATGAGCTTTACGAGTGGCCAGCGACTCCGCAACAGATTGCTGCGTTGACGACTTCGACTACTCCCAAAGCTTCTCTTCAAGTGTGGCACTCTCGGCTCGGCCATCCGTCTTCTTCTCTTTTAAACACTATGCTTTCTAGTTTTCAGCTACCTCTTTCAAGTTTTTCTTCAAAAACATTGTCTTAATAAAAGCCATAAACTTCCTTCACAATCGTTTCAACACGACCTCTTGAATATCTCTATTCCGATGTGTGGACATCGCCAATTCTTTCTATTGACAATTTCAAATACTATCTCGTCATTATTGACTACTTTACAAGATATACTTGGCTTTATCCTTTGAAACGAAAATCTGATGTGAAGGTCGTTTTTATAGCATTCAAAGCTTTGGTTGAGAATAAACTAGAGAAGAAGATCGGTACGTTGTTCTCGGATAATGGAGGAGAGTTCTTAGCATTACGGGAGTTCTTGTCGACAAGTGGAATCACTCACTTAACGTCGCCGCCTCATACTCCCGAACATAATGGAGTTGCAGAAAGAAAACATCGGCATGTAGTGGAGTCCGGCCTCACTCTTCTCTCTCACGCGGTTGTCCCGACAAAGTATTGGCCTTATGCTTTTGCGACCGCTGTCTACTTGGTCAATCGACAACTCACACCAGTTCTCTGTCAAACGTCACCATTTTACAAGCTTTTTGGAACGCAACCAAACTATAACAAGCTCAAGGTTTTTGGCTGCCTTTGCTTTCCGTGGTTGAAACCTTATACAAAACACAAGCTTGAGAGTCGATCGCAGCAATGTGTTTTTATGGGATACTCCCTATCACAGAGTGCCTACCTTTGTCTCCATGTTCCCACTGGACGAGTCTATACGTCACGGCATGTGCAATTTGTGGAAGATCAGTTCCCGTTCTCTTCTTCGCAAGAATCATCACGGCCCACGCTTGAAACAGAGTCAATTGTCTCGTCGCCGGTGGTCACTCCAATTGTCACTACGACGTCTCTCACGCCGATTAATGGAACCCCGGGCTCAGTCCTTCATTCATCCTCGCCGTCGTCATCTTCTTCCTCCTCGCAGCCATCGACCACACAGGTATCTCCGACAAACTCTAATACTTCTTCTTCTTCCTCGTCACAAAATTCTGAGCCCACTGCTCCTCATAATGGGTCACAAACCCAGGCCCAGCCCAACCAAGTGTCTAGTGAGCCCACTGCTCGAGAACAAAATGAATCTAATCTCACGGTTCAGCCCCGACCTACCTCTAACACCTCCGCAAACCGAAAAACACAACCAACGTTACAAGTCTCGTCTTGTTGCAAAGGGTTTTAATCAACGTTATGGTGTAGATTATGCTGAAATATTCAGCCCTGTTATAAAATCTACGACGATACGTTTGGTCCTTGATATTGCTGTTGCGTCCTCTTGGCCAATCAAACAGTTAGATGTCAACAACGCGTTTCTACAAGGTGAGCTAAGTGAGGAGGTTTATATGGCACAACCGCAGGGATTTATTGACAAGGATCGCCCACACCACGTTTGTAAGTTAAGGAAGCCAATTTATGGGCTAAAGCAAGCTCCACGAGCTTGGTACATGGCTCTAAAGACACATCTCCTACAAACGGGTTTCACCAACTCCTTAGCCGACACATCCTTGTTTATCAAGAGCTCCGGTAATTCATTCACATATGTTCTAGTTTATGTAGATGACATTCTTATCACCGGAAATGACAAGCTGATGATTACCCAAGTCCTCCACTCTTTTGCTGATCGTTTCTCCATCAAGGATCCTACGGATCTCACTTATTTTCTTGGAATTGAAGCAACGCGGACGGCATCGGGACTTCACTTAATGCAACGTAAGTACATTGTTGATCTTCTAACCAAGAATAATATGCTTGATGCCAAGCCGGTGTTGACACCATTACCGGTCTCACCTAAGCTCACCCTCCGAGCTGGCTCAATTCTCAAGGATCCCTCGCAATACCGGTCGGTCATTGGCAGCCTCCAATACCTCTCCTTTACACGACCAGACATATCATATGCGGTCAATCGCCTATCGCAGTTCATGCATCAACCAACAGAGGATCACTGGAATGCCGCAAAACGGGTACTCCGGTATCTTGCAGGTACTTTAACTCATGGCATTTTTCTCCGGGCTTCTTTTCCACTTACTCTACATGCGTTCTCTGATGCGGATTGGGCTGGAGATTCTGATGACTATGTCTCTACCAATGCGTACATTGTTTATTTGGGAAAGAATCCGGTCTCATGGAGTTCTAAGAAACATAAAGGTGTTGCAAGATCGTCAACGGAAGCGGAGTATAGGTCTGTCGCAAATGCCGCATCTGAGGTCCGTTGGCTCTGTTCCTTGCTTACCGAACTTGGCGTTCAACTTTACAAACCTCCGGTGATATATTGTGACAACATCGGCGCCACATACCTTTGTGCAAACCCGGTCTTCCACTCCCGTATGAAACATATTGCTCTGGACTATCATTTTGTTCGGAATCAGATTCAATCCGGTATGTTACGCGTCTCTCATGTATCAACAAAGGATCAATCAATTAGCGGATGCGCTAACCAAACCGTTACCACGTCCTCAGTTCACTACCGCTTGCTCCAAGATTGGACTCACGAGAGCTCCTCCATCTTGAGGGGGCGTATAAGGGATATGTAAATACAAATAGTATAGGGATCTATATGTAATTAGTTTCTAGGTTAAGCTTAAGTCTCAGTATATATATGTGTACACATTCTCATTAATAAGATATCACATTAAGCACTTATAGTGTGAAGTGTGTATTTGATACTTTCGAGTTCAAGGCGAAAAAGTGTTCACGTGACTCCAAACATGTGAGAAGGTCCTCGAAAGGCCGAACAATAAAAAGCCTCGAAGCCCATTTACACAAGTGGGTTTATTATCCCCAGAGCGGAACACAAAGACATGAGTCTTCGAGTGGACAAAGAGAGAGGGAACAACTTTGGGAAATCGATAGTAGTTTGTATTTGTTTGTGAAGACTTCATATAAAAATTGTATTTATGAGATTTTTGCTTTTCAAAAAGAGTAAAAGAGAACAAACACGAAGGTCATCATTCATAACATTACAATTAAGTTTTGATTTATCCGGTCGTTTACACCTTTTCCTGATTATAGACTTAGGTACAAGTACTCTTTAGGTTCTGGTATAAATCAAATGCATATATTTGATAAACTAAACCATGAAAGAATGTTTACCTAAGATTATGATTATTGAAGTGGTAAGTTAGAGAGTAAATCGCATACATTTAGGAGGGGTTATTGGTTCATGGATTTATAGAGAATTAGAAATCCAAACAAAAATCATTTGTTATTCAATCATTGATTTTAAAATCCTAATTAAAATCATGTGTTATTGGTTCTATGAATTATAAATACTAGTTAAAATCCTTTGTTATTCGTTTAGTCATTTGTTTTTGGATTTGAGAATCCAAATTATGTTTTAAATGGATTTGAATGGAATTGAAAGAGAAAAATAGAAGGATTCAAATCCATGGGTAAACACATGTTATTTCAAAATCCATATATCTTGATTTCATAATTAATAAAGATTTTCAAATTCTATATGGATTTACAAATTAATAAACCAATAACACCCCCTTAGATTCTAGTTTTGCTGTATTTGGAACATAAATGTTATAACATCTTAATAAGCCCAATTTGGAACAAGGCCTTACCCTTAATTTAAGCCCAAGTAATATTTTTTTTTTGTTACGTATATGAATGAGGGTAGGTCGACCCTCAGATTTCTCATTTGCACATGTTGAATGTGAGCCCAAAGCAGCCACCAATAAACTGATTCAGCTTTGTCATTTTCTATGCTTTTATGCAAGATGAAACATTAAAATATCATCGTTTTAATTATGTTTTTGACCTGTAAAGGATGGACAAAAGATATACTAACAAATCATTTAGCCGTCAAAAAAGAAACAATAGCTCAGATATAATTTCCCGGTAGCTTCAGCCTTCAGGTCAAGATAAAGTCAGGTCAAAAGTGATAAGCTCTATAATGAGTCCTCAAAATGTGATTTTAAGTTTAAGAAAATAACATACTTTTCTTAAGCCGGCATTATTTTTATATTAATGCCTTCACTATTGCAGAAATACTATTTTATTAATGTAAACATATACTATTAATTAGAGGGATAAAAAGAATATTGGTGACAAGCATCATGCATGAAAAAAAAGAGAGAATATTGGTGATATCTTTTTTTTTTTTGTTGATAAATGAATGTTGATGATGTCGCATGGTCCTTCACGTGATTACAATATTTATTTGCCTAGTTGATAATATCGTCATCAATATATTGAGTCATGAGCAAAGTGCTGGTCGAACATCGACGTATTCTTGGATAATGTTCGATTCTTGAATTGGTCCTAACTCAAATTCTTATGTTTTAAGACAAAAGTTGTTTTGTGTTGCCAAATAAATAAATATTTCCTTCAGTTTAGTGTTTTTGAATCGTTTTAGGTTAAGAAACGTAAAAGAAATTAAAGTCATTACTTAAACGAAAGATTGAAAGTTTCCCTAGGAATGCTACACTTTATGGCTATCATTTTGAATTAATAAAGTAATTTTCTGGATGAGTTTTTTTTTTTTTTTTTGGATTGGACTTTTGATAACGGATGATCATAAATCAGTTTATGGGCATGCATTAATGCGTTCCAAACTTGAAATGGGATTCAAAATCAATGTAAGTCACACAATATATACTTGATTTTAATACATAATTAACATCAATGTGTCTAAATTTTTTTATCGAATGAATAATCTTAAAACCGACTGTTTAGCTTGATACTCCAAAATTTTATTTTCTTATGTTTCTTTTGTAAGTATTTTTTTCTATATTTTTACATTAAACCAAAAAAAAAGTATTTTTTTTCTCTAAGTATGTTTTAATTAATTACTATATGGTTAAAAATATATAAAATAATTTAATTTTAATATAATCAATATTGTATGTGTCAGTCCATAGTCTACGAATCTTTGAAAAAAAGAAACAAATTATATTTTCAATATTTCATATTTATGTATTAAATACTTAAATATAATCCTAAAATTACTTAAACTATCTCAGTAACATATATTTAATTACTTACAATATTTCAATATATTTGTGTGTATATATATAGTTACAAAAAAATTAAGTAATTATATTAAAAAAATAACGTGGTCCTAATTGTGTATTTAATTTGTGTATATTTATTTTATACAAAAAAAAGCAAGTGTCCAGATACATTTGCAAGACGGTCTTTTTTTTTTTTTTTTTTTGGGCAAACAAGACGGTCTTTAAAACAAATCACATTGGTCTATAAAAAGCCCACTCACACTTCATCTTCCACTTCAAAATTCATTTCGAAGATTCTCATTCTCCATTACAGAACAAAAAAAAAAAGCTTCAAAGCATCAAAATTTCACATTCCTCTCTGTTTTTGGTTTTAGATTCTCCTCCTTCAATGGCTTCCATGTCCACCGTCTTCCCCAAATCAACCTCTTTCCTCTCTCAACCTCTCACCAAACCCCACAAATCCGATTCCATAACCACATCCATTTCATTCCCTTCGAGAAATCGTAGCCTAAGAACCCTCCGTGTACGAGCTGGCTTAATCGAGCCAGATGGTGGGAAACTTGTAGATCTTGTTGTATCGGAGCCACGACGGCGAGAGAAGAAACACGAAGCGGCGGATTTGCCGAAAGTGAGATTGACGGTGATTGATTTGCAATGGATGCATGTATTGAGTGAAGGTTGGGCTAGTCCTCTTCGAGGGTTTATGAGGGAATCTGAGTTCCTCCAAACTCTTCATTTCAATTTGTTGAATCTTGATGATGGATCTGTTGTTAATATGTCTGTGCCTATTGTTCTTGCGATTGATGATCAACAAAAAGCCCTAATTGGCGAATCGAAACGTGTCTCTCTTGTTGATTCTGATGATAATCCAATCGCTATTCTCAATGAGTAAGTTTCTTTTAGGCTTTTATAAGATTTTGAGGAATAAAGTTTGGATTTTTATTGGTCTGTTGTTGATTGTGTATACATTTTCAGTATTGAGATTTATAAACATCCGAAAGAGGAACGGATAGCGAGAACTTGGGGTACGACTGCACCGGGTTTGCCTTATGTAGAAGAGGCGATAACTAATGCTGGAGACTGGCTCATTGGTGGTGATCTTGAGGTTTTAGAACCTGTTAAGTACAATGATGGGCTTGATCGCTTCAGGCTTTCGCCGTTTGAATTGCATAAGGAGCTAGAGAAGCGTGGCGCGGATGCGGTCTTTGCGTTCCAGCTTAGGAACCCGGTTCATAATGGACATGCTCTTCTTATGACTGATACTCGTAGGAGACTCCTTGAGATGGGTTATAAAAACCCAATACTTCTGCTTCATCCATTGGGAGGGTTTACGAAAGCGGATGATGTTCCTTTAAGCTGGCGAATGAAACAGCACGAGAAGGTAATAATGGATGCAAAGTCTCATTTTGTGTGTTGTTACTAGTTCTTTATAGGAGATGCTGAATTGGTTTACATGACTTAATTAGGTGCTAGAGGACGGTGTTCTTGATCCAGAGACGACTGTGGTTTCTATATTCCCATCTCCAATGCTCTATGCTGGTCCAACCGAAGTGCAGTGGCACGCAAAGGCTAGGATCAATGCCGGTGCTAACTTCTACATTGTGGGTAGGGATCCAGCTGGAATGGGTCATCCTGTGGAGAAACGTGATCTGTATGATGCTGATCACGGGAAGAAAGTACTTAGCATGGCTCCTGGACTCGAACGACTCAACATTCTTCCTTTCAGGGTATAGACATAATACTCAACCTCGGTATCTCCTTCGAAGATTTAGGCTTTTTGAGTTCTGATTTCTGGTTTCAATCTGTTTAGGTTGCTGCTTACGATAAGACACAAGGCAAGATGGCGTTCTTTGATCCCTCAAGGGCTCAAGATTTCTTGTTCATTTCTGGCACTAAGGTAAAAACAACTTCTCAAACCAATTGGGACTAATGTGTCTAAGCTTTAAGTGTATTCAATTTCTGATTAAAGCTTTGATTTGGTGTTGTTTTGATAGATGAGAGCATTGGCAAAGAACAGAGAGAACCCTCCAGATGGATTCATGTGCCCTGGAGGCTGGAAGGTGCTTGTGGATTACTACGACAGTTTGACTGTAACCGGAAACACCAAACTCCCTGAAAAGATTCCGGTTTAAGACCGATAAATCCATTTATTTGTTTTCGTTTTAGTAAATTAATAACATGATAGTTTTTTTTTTAAGATCTCAACATAATGATTGATCCATCTTATTGTAAGATTTGGAAAGCTTATATGAACAAAGGTAACACAAATCTTACATATAAACTAAAATAAAAAAGCAGAGCGTAGACATATATGAATCTAACTTTCAATCCTTGATCGTTCTTCAATCTATCACTATGACTTCACTTTTTATTCTTTTGGTTAAAGTTTCTTCATTGCTTCTTCCCCTCTTATTCCCTGAAAGAATCACAACATCTAACGTTTGCTCTGTCTTCTTCGCAACCACATTCTTATCTATTTGGTAGACAAGATCAGTTTTATCCACGTTTACATCAATGCACACAATGGAGTCGTTATCGATTTCTTCTCGCACAATCATCATTGATATATCTGTGACCACTTTCCTCTCTAGCCATCTCCTAATGGGTCTAGCACCATACACCTACAACAACAATCATACAATATTAAGTGATACAAATGTAAAACCTCAAACACAACATATACTTATTACTATGTGATAAGGAAAAATGACATTTACCGAGTCGTAACTCGCTGCTAAAATGTAGTCCAATGCATCATTTGTGACAGTCATAGATGCACCTTTCTCAGCAAGCCGATTAGCAACATTGTTCACTTGGAGTTGAATAATTTTTGTCAAATGCTCGTGGGACAAAGGATGAAACATCACTATCTCATCCAATCTGTTTAACAGCTCTGGCCTGAAATGTTTTTTCACCTCTTTCGTTGCGTTGTCTCGAGCCACTTCCATTGTTACTTCACCTGTAAGCCCTGAAACAAGGTGCTCAGCCCCAAGGTTAGAAGTCATTATGATCACTGTATTTTTGAAATCGACTGTCCTCCCCTGCGAATCGGTTAATCTCCCGTCTTCCAACACTTGAAGTAACGTGTTGAATACAGTAACATTGGCCTTTTCAACTTCATCAAATAGTACAACACAGTAAGGTCGTCTCCTCACGGGTTCGGTTAGTTGGCCACCTTCTTCATGACCAATGTACCTAAAAAACAAAGTACTATCATTTGAGTTTCCATTATACCATTAATCAAAAACACACATAAAAAGAGGCTTGAGTTATCTATCAGTATACTCCGACATATCAAGCCTAGCGAGTAAGTTTTCATTGTAAAAGAGTTGCTCAGCTAGAGCCTTAGCCAGCTCAGTTTTACCAACACCAGTTGGACCAAGGAAAAGAAAGGAACCAGAAGGTTGTTGTGGCCTTCCTAGTCCAACCCTCGACCTTAGAATTCCCGAAGCTACAGCTTTTACGGCTTCTTCTTGTACAACAAGGCAACAACTCTCTCGTGCATCTTATCAGCAAGAGAAATCAGCCATCTTAGAATCTTCAAATGGGTCAGACCATTTATATATGTAATGTGAAGTCTTAATATCGTTTATAGGAAACATGTAAATTGCAAAAAAAAAATATGAAATTACATTTGTTAATGGAAAAAAGCTATAAGGAAGCTACCAATTTGACGTAACTTTTACAGACTTGGAGATAATGAGGAATCGCCGTCGAACATACATTGTTAGGGCAACTCCGCCGTCATTGTTTCCCGAATCCCTGACAGTGAATTCCATTGTTCAAGCGAGGTGAGTTTTCTATTTTTCTTCTTCTGCTTTCAATTGAAACTTCAGGGTTTATGATCTCTAGGGTTTAGGTTTTCTTTTCTTTATCCATTGTAATTCCTCTTATAAACTAATTAAAACTCTAAATTCTTTTTCGTCTTCCTCTTTGATATAGGAAAAAGAGTATGAAGAAATGAAGTAACGAAATTGGCACGTGTGGCACGTGAGGAGTAGTGAGCTGCAGTACACGTGGAGGGAAACGATTGGAGCTGTTCTTCTTCTTTAAAAGCAAACGAGTGTCATCTTCTTCATTATGCAAAACTATTTTCTCTGTAAACTTTCTTCTAGAAGTTTCTGGGTTCTTCCTCATTGTTTGCCGGATCTCCTTGAGAGAGTCTTGCAGGTGAGATGATGGTGCCGCGTTTATCTTGAACGTTGTAATCCATTTTATAGTAATAATATTCAGAAGTTCTCTTACTCTGTTTTTACGTTAACACTGGTATCAGAGCCATTCTTCCTCGGAATCAATGGCGGAAACTAGATCGCGATTTGAACAAGTGATTGCGGCACAAAATCTTCAGATCGACAAGCATATGGCTGAACTGCGGGAAGCGATTCAGCTTTTCTCCGATCAGGTGAATCACGCATCATCGAGTGGTCATCTACAACAGCAACGACCATCTCCGGCGCTTTCAGCTATTCCAGAAATTATGTATCCGTCATCACGATCTAGGAACGCGGAGGAGGAGAATCTGCAAGTCGTTGCTCTCTCAGCCTCGCCGCAAGTTCGAGATTCACAGGATCTCAATCGTCCAGATCCAAAACCTAACTATAAGATCGAAGCTACTAACAGTAATCTGCCGTCAAATCGCACAATGAAGATGCGTCGAAGCCTCTCTTGGGAAGAAATGGAAGAGAGAATGTCAAAGGGGCTTTGTATATTTTGTAATGAGCCAGAAACTCCCACTCATTATTTACAACACAAGAACTCAGGTATTCTCATGATTGATAGTGAAGATCATCTCTCTAATGCTATGGAAATTGGGGTTGAGATATCGAGTGATATGTGGTTGTCAAATTCAGTTGGCTGTGAATTAGAGACTGGAGAAACATATTATGATGAAGATCGATTCCTTAGTGCTTCAAGCTTAATAGTGAATGAGATTGGGAAGGTGAAGAAAGATTTGGTAGTAATTGATGTTGCTAAGACTTGTGATGATGAACAATTTTCGGATAATGGAGATGTGTTTGGATTCAACGTAGAAGCGTCACAACCAGATTCATTGATTAACCAGAGTCAATTGATTCAAGAACAAGCCAAGGATCATTACACGGATTCAACTCCGGAAACAAATTTGCGTCAACATATTGATTCGTTTCTCACCCATCAGGTATCAAATCCTCACTGGGAATTTTGCCGTAGGTCTTACATGGAATCTATGGCTGTTTATGATAAAACAAAGGTCTTCCATAATGATGATTTGCCATCTACAGTTGTAAGAACACATCAATCCCAGTCGCAATTTGTCCTTGCATGTGTTGGTAATATTGCATGCCAAGTGTTTGATATAATGCCACTAGGAACAAAACTGTTGCAAAGTAAGAGAAGGAAAACATTATTAAAGACTTGGTGGTTCAAGTACAAATATATTGAAGAGGGTATAAAGAGACTGCAGATTCAGCTGAGTTACAAGTGCCGGTTGGATTTTGAAGAGGGGTTTACCAATTGGGGCAGAAGAGAGGGTTTGAGGAAGCACAAGAAACTTAATGATGATGGGGAGTTACACATAACCTTGAAGGCCCAAAGAAAGGATAATTCATTATGTGATAAAGTATTGATTCAGCAGCTGGAATGGGGAGATTGTGTAGAGAATTTGACTCAAGATGTGTTGAAAACGACGTCAAGTCCAAAAAAATTGTTTCAGGCGACGATGGTGATGGCAAAGACAGATTTGTTCTGTAACGATGAATCAAACTTTGTTTTTGAGGCCTTATCATCTGAAATCTTGAAGAACACTCGATACCGGTTATATGGTGGAATTAATTTTGCTGCCTTGCAGCCGGTTGACGTTTTCAAGGTCTTGGAAAAAGTGGACATCAATGCACAATCAATAGTTCTCAAGATGAAACTCGTTGCTGGGCAAGTGCGTGACAGAATGCTTCATGGAGGCCACAGTTTACAGCACCGGAGGAAAAAGAGAAAGGGCTCAAAATCTTGGAAGTTTAAATTCAAACAAAGGAAACAACAGCAAGGCAGGTCACAGTTCAGTACTCAGTTTATCTTTGGTATGATGGCCTTCCACGTTTGGCATAAATGGAGGTCTGATTGGTTGAGAAATACACAAAGAGGCAAACCATATTACAGTCTCGAATTGAATTCGTCCGGAGTAGTTTTTGTGGCACCGTTTGTGAACGTCTTTGCTAAGTTACAATCTGATTTTGTCGTTGACGTTTCCCAATCTGTTTTTGGCGCTGCTGTTGTCATTACAAATGGAGATAAGCTAGTATATGGTGTAACTTTCAAATGGTTGTCTACAAAGTTGCAGATTCTTTCAGCTGATACACTTAGTCAAAGAGGAAACAAGAACTTCATCAGGTCATTACAAACTCTACAAGACTTGCAAAAGTTTACAATTGGCGTTGTGCAGTTCCAAATAAAGCATACATGGAGAACTAAGTTCATACACTCAGTTTCAGCATTTGGTGTTGGGCATTATGCATATTCTAATTGGAAACAGAGTGACAAAGGGACGCAGCTCTTATGCAGCAGGCGATTGGTTGTTTACAAGCTTGGCAGTGAGGCCACTAGTGTTGTAGAGATGTATCAGCGTGTATATCGGCTTGTTAAACTGAAATTTGCCAAAGAAGAACAAAAGCTTGAAGTCATACAGAGCCAAACCTTTGACCCGGGGATCGGACTCGAGTCACAAGAGACTCTAAGAAGTCTATTCCAAGCAGAGCTCCTTCAATGGTTTTCATCAAATGGATTCACGACACTATGGAGGAAACCACATAGGAGTTGCCCTTGTTTTGCAGTGACAATTTCCAGACTAACCTTGTGGTCAAGGTTTTTCGAAGAGGGGAGATTTGATATAGGAAAAAGAGTATGAAGAAATGAAGTAACGAAATTGGCACGTGTGGCACGTGAGGAGTAGTGAGCTGCAGTACACGTGGAGGGAAACGATTGGAGCTGTTCTTCTTCTTTAAAAGCAAACGAGTGTCATCTTCTTCATTATGCAAAACTATTTTCTCTGTAAACTTTCTTCTAGAAGTTTCTGGGTTCTTCCTCATTGTTTGCCGGATCTCCTTGAGAGAGTCTTGCAGGTGAGATGATGGTGCCGCGTTTATCTTGAACGTTGTAATCCATTTTATAGTAATAATATTCAGAAGTTCTCTTACTCTGTTTTTACGTTAACACTCTTCTCCTTGTAATTGCCAGATGCAATGCAAACGCTAGAGGAGATCGGAGATCGAAGAGGAAGTGTTATACAGGATCGTGGGATCAAAATATTCCGACAGATCTCTTACAGGATATATTATCCCGCCTCGGATTAAAAGCAAACATAAAAGCTTCTATTGTCTGCAAGACATGGCTTGAAGAAGCTGTTTCTGTCCGGAAGTTACAGCCTCGTCCTTGGCTTTTTTATCGACAAAGAAGAGCAGAACACGAATACTCTCCAGCTGGAACTTACATTCTTTTTGACCCATTACGGTCTCAACAATATAAGCTCAATTTTCCAGAGTTGGAGAGAAACCATGGAATAATTTGTTCTAGGGATGGTTGGTTGCTAACATACGATAGCGGTTATGCACTCTTTCTTAACCCGTTTACCCAGGAGAGCTTCTATTTAACCGAGGGGTCTCCCTACAAAAGAAGCTATTCTTTAGCTTTCTCAGCTGCTCCTACATCAGCTAGCTGTATGGTGATCTCGTACCCCCAAATATCTTCATGCGCATCTGTTGTGATCGATACTTGGCGGCCTGGTGAAACCGTATGGACCACCCATTGGTTTAAGAATCAGTTACCCAAGCGCATATGGGGCAAATGTGTCTTCTCGAATGGTATGTTCTACTGTCTCAGTACCTGCGGCTACCTTGGGGTTTTCGACCCGTCTAAATCAACCTGGAATATTCTTCCTGTGAAACCATGTCCCGCCTTTCGGGGTCGTATACCAGTATTGATGACGGAGCATGAAGGAGACATCTTTGTTATAGTTTATACATGTAAAAACAACAACCCAATGGTGCTTAAACTAAATTTTAAACGCAATGTATGGGAAGAGAAGAAAGATCTTGGTGGCTTGACAGTATTTGCAAGTTTCCCTTCCTCTTTTGCAAGAGCTGGTCTCTCGACAGAGCAGAGGAACAAAATATGTTTATCGTATAGGGATAAGTGTGGGCGATATGACGTGTCCTACTCCGTCAGGTGATGAGAAAAGCTCTTATCCCCCTCCAGAAACCGTTTTGAGTAAATCCATTGTTTGGGTGGAGCCACCTCATAACTACGTTAATTTGTGATTTCATCATCCCTTGTATTATGAAAAACTTTATTTATGCATTTTAAAACTCTGATTTGAATTATTTGCAAGTCTTTTTTGCATTGTAGCTCGGATACTCTAAGAATGTGACAAGTTTCTATCAATCCAATGCCTACTCTTTAAAAGTTAAAACACATTGTATCTCGAATAGTCAATGAATTCACTTTAAAGGCGATCGTAAATTATCCTGAATCTTCTTTTTCTTGTTGTAATGGTCAGAAAAACAAGTAAACAACAAAGAATAAACCACAAGAACACATGGATCTCCTTGCCAGTTCTTCTTCACTGCATACTTGGCTTCTATTTTCCTCATGCCATTCATTAAATTGCATATAAAAAAAATGCACATACAAACCAAAATCTCAACAGGGATGTATCGTAATAATCCTTAGTTACCATCAATAGGGATCTGAAGAAATTTCTTGACATGTATATCGCTAGGGCGTAAAATGATCGGTGAACAAAGTCATCAAACTCACTAACCAGTTGTGTAAAAGAGAAATTAAGGTCCACCATGGAGTTTGTATATATGTCTTTTGCAAACTCCCGGAAAAGATTCCGGTTTAAGATCGATAAACCCATTTATTTGTTTTTGTTTCCCAACATAATGATTAATCCTTCTTATTGTAAGATTTGGAAAGCTTATATGAACAAAGGTAACACATATCTCACATATAAACTAAAATAAAAAACCAGAGCGTAGAGCAATATGAATCTAACTTTCAATCCTAAGATCGTTCTTCAATCTTAAGATCGTTCTTCAATCTATCACTATGACTTCATTTTTTATTTTTTTGGTTGAAGTCACGATGTGATCTTCTTCATTGCTTCTTCCCCTCTTATTATCTGAGTGAATCACAACATCTAACGTTTGCTCTGTCTTCTTCGCAACCACATTCTTATCTATTCGGTAGACAAGATCAGTTTTATCCGCGTTTACATCAATGCACACAATGGAATCATCATCGATTTCTTCTCGCACAATCATCATCGATATATCTGTGACCACTTTCCTCTCTAGCCATCTCCTAATAGGCCTAGCACCATACACCTACAATAATAATCATACATAAGTGATACGAATGTAAAATCTCAAGCAACCACAACATATTTATTAAGTGATGATAAGGAAAAAGGACATTTACCGAGTCGTAACTCGCTGCCAAAATGTAGTCCAATGCATCATTTGTGACAGTCATAGATACACCTTTCTCAGCAAGCCGATTAGCAACATTGTTCACTTGGAGTTGAACAATTTTTGTCAAATTCTCGTGGGACAAAGGATGAAACATCACTATCTCATCCAATCTGTTTAACAGCTCTGGTCTGAAATGTTTTTTCACATCTTTCATTGCGTTGTCTTGAGCCACTTGCATTGTTACTTCACCTGTAAGCCCTGAAATAAGGTGGTCAGCACCAAGGTTAGAAGTCATTATGATCACTGTGTTTTTGAAATCGACTGTCCTCCCATGCGAATCGGTTAATCTCCCGTCTTCCAACACTTGAAGTAACGTGTTGAATACAGTAACATTGGCCTTTTCAACTTCATCAAATAGTACAACACAGTAAGGTCGTCTCCTCACGGGTTCGGTAAGTTGTCCACCTTCTTCATGACCAATGTACCTAAAAAACAAAGTACTACCATTTGAGTTTCCATTATACCATTAATCACAAACACACGTAAGAGGCTTGAGTTATAAGCAAGTACCCGGGTGGTGCCCCTATAAGTTTACTAACAGTGTATCTATCCATATACTCCGACATATCAAGCCTAACGAGTAGGTTTTCATCGTAAAAGAGTTGCTCAGCAAGAGCCTTAGCCAACTCAGTTTTACCAACACCAGTTGGACCGAGGAAAAGAAAGGAACCAGAAGGTTGTTGTGGCCTTCCTAGTCCAACCCTCGACCTTAGAATTGCCGCAGCTACAGCTTTCACGGCTTCTTCTTGTACAACAAGGCAAGAACTCTCCCGTGCATCTTATCAGCAAGAGAAATCAGCCATCTTAGATCTTCAAATGGGTCAGACCATATTTGATATTGACATATTGTGCCTATTAGTGGCAACTGCAAGTTCCAAATACAGACGATTGATCAAATATGGAAGTCCTAATTAAGACCCATTTGTTATTAGCTCAAGTATTTTAAAAAAGCGATTGAAACAACATGTAGGTAGATATAAATAATTGATCAAAGTAAAAAGGAAAAAAAAAAGATTACATCGCAGTTCTTCTGTATTTCCATAACCTCGGACACGGAAATCTCACGCTCAACCTTCCCTACGGCCAAAATCGTAGGAAAAAGGTAAGAAATGCTTGTTTTCTACAAAAATAATTTGTAAGAAATGTCCCATAAGAAATCAATATTAGTAGAAATTTCTCTTCGTAAGCAAGCAGCTGATGGACGCGATTTAGATTTTCTCGGCTTCACACCATTTAACAGTTAATTATTTACCAATCAGACTTTTCACTCTTTTTTTTCTTTACCGCCTTAACAGCCAATTCTTTTTTCTCTCTCTTTACTTGCACCAGTTTTTTTAAAGTTCCAATAATGAGACTTTACTAGGCTTTAACACTTTTTCAATTAATTGAGTATTTCTTTTAAGATTATTTATCTTCTATTTTTATATAACTACTAGATCGAAACCCGCGCTACGCTGCGGGGCTTTTAAAAAAATTTATTTTTGCACAAATTGTTTGATAACAAGTGGTTTTTAGAAAACAAAATGCATGAAGTGAATTTAACAAATAATTTAAGTTTCAAGTAGTTTTTGTAAATAAAATTTGTTTTAATATAAGTATTTATGGTAGAAATTTAAAAAGTTTCACGGATTTTGTATTTTATCTTTACTCATATATTAGTTGTTTTTATTTTATAAGTTTATATATAAATACATTAGTAAATACCTTTTATATCTTACTTTTATGGAATCAATTTACCTTATAATCAATTTTTGTATTTGTTTGTTTTATTTTTCATTTTATTATATGTTTAATTTCTTACAAATGTTAGATTTTTTATATTATGATATATATAAATATTTTTTAGCGACTATTATACTTCAAGAACCTTAGATTATTTTTGTTAAAATCATTTATGGTACACAAGCAATATTTGAATCCTACTAAAAGTATTTTAATATACCTTTTTTAATATATAATTTTTTAACAATTAATTCAAAATAATTAATACGCGAAGTTTTTTGTGTGTATTTTTTTCGTTAGAAGCTGAACACTACGAACAAGTTTTTAACTTTAAAACAATTCGATTTTCGAATTAGATCAGATCAATATTATTATGGGTGGACATTTTAACCGAACTAAACCAAACCTAGCAAACTAAACTCAAACCGATCCAAACCAAACCATAACTTACATTCAAACAATTCGATTATATTTCTTCTCAATCTAAACCGATAACTCAATCTATTTATATATTTAATTAAATAATATTGTAAATACTTATATGTAATGCTTTACCAACGTTGTCCTTGATCTAGAGCGTTAGATATTTTTTTCATTTTTAACTAATAAAATATAAAATTAGATTGATTTTATTTAAACATCTCTACTTTTAAGTTTCTTTAAGAGTACACAACTAAAACCAAACCGAACCGAGCAGAATATAAATCGACCCGAACACAAGCCAAATCATATCGAGGGGTTTTATAATTCAAGTTTTGATCATTTTGTTAGAAAAAGTCTTTAAAAGATCATATTTTTTATGATATACATATAAATGTTTGTCTTCTTTTAAAGCTTAAAACTTTTGCTAAACCCGATAGTTAGTATTTGGATTGTCTCTTTCTAGCATTAATAAAATTATCTAACTGTCAATAAATTTTATGAAAATAAAACTACTTTTAAATTCTGAAACAAAAGATTAATGACTTGAATTTTCCTTTCTTTAAATGAAATGAGAGTTAGATTATTTGTATTTGTTATTGTATCTCTGAAATTATGTACACTAAATCAACAACTGAACCTTTAGTCGCCTCAAGTACATTCTATAATTCCAAACTCCAATTTTTTTTTTTTGTTATTCAAATTAAACTATATAAAGTCTAAAGGAACATGGCTGCATGTGTTTGATTATTTATCGTGCCAATTGTTTTTGAATTTCTAAGAAGCTCCAAGAGCTTCAATCAAACCAGTGAGCTATTTTTAGATTTTTTCTCATTTTTAGTAGAGCTGAAAACATTGAATAATGATTAAAAAATCTAACTTTGAGTTTAAGTAAGCAAACTTTCTCCAACCCATTTGCCTATTAGGTCTCTTCTATATCATATCCCCAATTTCTTCCGAATCTCAGCCTAAACCTTCTTGCACCATTCCTCATGATTCTCTCTTTTTCCTTCAATTAACCACTCATATTTTCTTATACACTTGGATCATGGAGTTTTTTTTTTCTTATGTGATTCATCAATTGAGACTTCAAACTAAAACTACCGGTGAAATAAAACATAGAAATTTTATGTATTTTAAGACGAAAAGTAGATGTACTTTTGAAATATTGTTTTTTATTTATTTTCAAATTTAAATATTTTTACGAGTGTTTTTTTTCGTAATTTTCTTTTGGTACCTGTCTCCATTCATGAAGCTATCAATTTTATTCTTTTTAAATGAAACCATGTTTTGCATTTAGAAAAAACAAATTATGTTAGCTTACATGTTTGAAAAAAACATATAATGGTGTGACTACCTACGAAATGATTAATAAGCACCTTACGTTAAATTGAATTTCTTAATAGAAATTTAGGCATTGGGCTATTTTTATTTTAATTAATTATTAGGTTGTTCTTTTAAAAGTTTAAACCAATTGGGCTTGGGCTTGGACTTGTGTTTAATTTAATAATTATTAAGTGATGTGGAATTGGAAAGAGTTATTATTGGTTGAGAAATCCGAGTTGTATTAATCGAAATGTTTTGATTGGTTGATGATTTTAACGAGGTGTCAGTCCCAGAATACTCCAAAATGCTGAGGTGTCAGCACTGGAGAGACTTTTGTTGTTTTTATTGTATTGATTACGAATCACTGATTGTTCAATATAAAATATATATTTCACTTAATAGAAACAACAATTCAACAAAAATAAAAACATTCAAAAAATATATGTTTTACTATTAATAGTGAAAATCAATATAAAACAACAATAGCCGATAAAGAAAACTCTACACAAAACATTTTAGCACATAATAGTGGATCATTAATCATTCAAAAACTAGAGAAAATCATTTTAAAGCATACCAATACAAAATAATATTCCAACAAATTTAAAATTAAAATTAATACAACAAACTATTTTAAGAAGATCACTAACATTATAAATACAATCACCAATGGAGTTTTAATTGCAAATCCAACAAGTACTATGATTTCCAAGTTTTTTGTTAGTTTATCCCACTTCTTACTTATGCTTTTTGGTATTAAATTTGGGTATGAAATAGTAAATATAAATAAATTTATTTGTTTCAAATATTTATCTATTAGTTTGTTTTTAAACTCTTGTAATTTTTTTACTAACAAATCTTTTTGTTATGATATTAAAATAACATTCACAATTTTTACACCCACATCTTCTACATTAGTGTTTACCAATTAGATTTTTAAAAATATTTTAAAATTACAGCTATAGTCTTTACAGTTAAATTTTCCGCAGCCAAAAATTTACAGTAAAAATCTATAGTAAAAAGTCTTACCAATAGACGTTTATTAATGGAAAAAAAAAACTAAAAGGAAATTTTTTTTTTTTTTTTTTGAACACCACCTAAATGGAACTAAAAGTTACCAATTTGACCTAACTTTTACAGTTGGAGACTTGGAGATAATGAGGAATCGCCGTCGAACATACAATGTTAGGGCAACTCCGCCGTCATTGTTTCCCGAATCCCTGACAGTGAATTCCATTGTTCAAGCGAGGTGAGTTTTCTATCTTTCTTCTTCTCCTTTCAATCGAAATTTCAGGGTTTATGATCTCTAGGGTTTAGGTTTTCTTTTCTTTTTCTTTATCCATTGTAATTCCTCTTATAAACTAATTAAAACTCTAAATTCTTTTTCGTCTTCCTCTTCTCCTTGTAATTGCAAACGCTAGAGGAGATTGGAGATCGAAGAGGAAGTGTTATACAGGATCGTGGGATCAAAATATTCCGACAGATCTCTTACAGGATATATTATCCCGCCTCGGATTAAAAGCCAACATAAAAGCTTCTATTGTCTGCAAGACATGGCTTGAAGAAGCTGTTTCTGTCCGGAAGTTACAGCCTCGTCCTTGGCTTTTTTATCGACAAAGAAGAGCAGAACACGAATACTCTCCAGCTGGAACTTACATTCTTTTTGACCCATTACGGTCTCAACAATATAAGCTCAATTTTCCAGAGTTGGAGAGAAACCATGGAATAATTTGTTCTAGGGATGGTTGGTTGCTAACATACGATAGCGGTTATGCACTCTTTCTTAACCCGTTTACCCAGGAGAGCTTCTATTTAACCGAGGGGTCTCCCTACAAAAGAAGCTATTCTTTAGCTTTCTCAGCTGCTCCTACATCAGCTAGCTGTATGGTGATCTCGTACCCCCAAATATCTTCATGCGCATCTGTTGTGATCGATACTTGGCGGCCTGGTGAAACCGTATGGACCACCCATTGGTTTAAGAATCAGTTACCCAAGCGCATATGGGGCAAATGTGTCTTCTCGAATGGTATGTTCTACTGTCTCAGTACCTGCGGCTACCTTGGGGTTTTCGACCCGTCTAAATCAACCTGGAATATTCTTCCTGTGAAACCATGTCCCGCCTTTCGGGGTCGTATACCAGTATTGATGACGGAGCATGAAGGAGACATCTTTGTTATAGTTTATACATGTAAAAACAACAACCCAATGGTGCTTAAACTAAATTTTAAACGCAATGTATGGGAAGAGAAGAAAGATCTTGGTGGCTTGACAGTATTTGCAAGTTTCCCTTCCTCTTTTGCAAGAGCTGGTCTCTCGACAGAGCAGAGGAACAAAATATGTTTATCGTATAGGGATAAGTGTGGGCGATATGACGTGTCCTACTCCGTCAGGTGATGAGAAAAGCTCTTATCCCCCTCCAGAAACCGTTTTGAGTAAATCCATTGTTTGGGTGGAGCCACCTCATAACTACGTTAATTTGTGATTTCATCATCCCTTGTATTATGAAAAACTTTATTTATGCATTTTAAAACTCTGATTTGAATTATTTGCAAGTCTTTTTTGCATTGTAGCTCGGATACTCTAAGAATGTGACAAGTTTCTATCAATCCAATGCCTACTCTTTAAAAGTTAAACACATTGTATCTCGAATAGTCAATGAATTCACTTTAAAGGATCGTATATTACCCTGAATCTTATTTTTCTTCTTCTTTTTCTTGTTGTAATGGTCAGAAAAACAAGTAAACAACAAAGAATAAACCACAAGAACACATGGATCTCCATGCCAGTTCTTCTTCACTGCATATAAAAGAAATGCACATACAAAACAAAATCTCAACAGGGATGTATCGTATTAATCCTTAGAGCAATAACAATAGTTGAGTCCTTAAAAAGATTCTTAAATATATTTTAATCATAAATTATGACAATATTAGAGTTAAGAGTTTTTGATGAATCCTTAAATTTCCTTTGTCCAATGGTATAGTCCTTAATTAAGTGGGTTTCTTACAAAAATATATATATTTTAAAATAAAAATTATAAACATTTTTATTTGATAAAACTTGATAATTATTACAATTTTCTAAGAATTTTAAACATACAAGAGTAACAATATATGGTTTTGATTGGTAAAGTTATATTCCGTGTTCAAAAAATCGCTAGGCGCTAGTCGGGCGGTGAGGGTGCGCCTAGCGCCTAGTAAGAAAATCGGAGATTACACGGGGATTAATCGGGGATTAGTTTTAGGGCTATTTAATGTTTTAAAAATATATTAATCCATTATAAATAAGAAATTTTATATAATCTTGTTTTTAAAATTACATTAAACACATGAAAACAAGAATTTAAGGTCAAATTTATGATTTTTATAAAAAATTATGAATATAAGTGGGACGTTTTGAATTTTAGATCCAAAAAAAGAAAAAAAAAAAAAAAAAAAAAAAAAAAAAAAAATTGGGCTAGGCGCCGTCTAGGCGGGCTAGGCGGACGCCTAGGCGGTCTAGGCGGACAAAAATCGGATCACCGATTTTTTTTACCGATTTGGACAAAATCGCCGCGGTCCCCACCCGATCAGCGCCTAGGCGGCCGCCTAGGCGGCTAGGCGGCCGATTTTTAGAACAAGGGTTATATTTATGAGATATAACATGTATTGTTTCTATGTAATTATTTAGGAAGATGGTAAAAATACGATGGTACAGATTCATATTTTATCATATCGTCATGTTTTATCCTCGAATCACAAAAATAAATTTATGTTTCACAAATCAGGACAATATAAAACTAAGATATATAAACAAAATACAAACCAAGACTTGTTGATTTTTTTATATTTTTTTTGTAAAGATTGAAAGATACAAAATGACAAATTTGCATTAGTATGGGTACGTGTAACGAAAAAGTGTATTTTTTGGTGAAAAAAGTGAACCTTTTTGCTTTCTTTGTTTACCAATGAATGACAACGTGCCACGTATGCGCCTCTTAAAATCAGAAAAAACTCTAAACTAAGAAAATGACCTTAACATTTCTCATATTTTCAATTTATTTTTGGCCCTTTTCGTAAGGATTCACTCCTAGAATCTCTCTAGGACTGCCCATTGGACTTGCTCTTAGTTATCACCAATAGGGATCTGAAGAAATTTCATGATGTAGATCGCTAGGGCATAAAATGATCGGTGGACAAAGTCATCAAACTCACTAACCAGTTGCGTAAAAGAGAAATTAAGGTCACCATGGAGTTTGTATGTCTTTTGCAACACTGAGGACTTCTTGGAGGTTAGCCATCCTAGCTAGCCATTAATCTTTAGCCCAATCACGATTAATTATGAAATAATGATGGAATCATGTGCATCAGTTATAGTATTATTGTACCCTCCATGACAACTTCTTAGCCAACAATTCAACACTCGAGGAAAACAAGATAATATTGTGTAAGATCTCCAAAAGACCGTTTTGCTAAAAGTTAGACTCTTAAAGCATCTCCAACCATAAGATATTCTTTGAGTTTTCCAAACAAAAAAATATTAGTACTTTAGTAAATTTTAATTATAGAATTAAATTTTAATTACAAACATAAAACTGAACCAATAGATGAGAAACAAATGGTATAGTAGGTTTCTCATGAATCTTTAAATGAGACTATGAGAGGCTCTCTCTCTTCTCTTTCTTATTTTTTAATTTTTAAATGATATCGTAGATACACTTTTACGGATATTATTATTTTGTATTGATAAAGTAATTTTCTGGATGAGTAATTTCTGACTAAAGCTTGATTTGGGGGTTGTTTTGATAGATGAGAGCATTGGCAAAGAACAGAGAGAACCCTCCGGATGGATTTAGACCATCTCTAATGGTAGAGTTCCATGAGGGGCTCTTACAAATTTTTTAATTTTAAATTTTGATAATTTTAAAGTTTAGAGTTTGTGCTAGAGTCCTTAAATTTTTCATTGTCCATTGGTAGAGTTTCAAGTGAGTTTCTTTAAAAAAAATATTTTTAAAATAAAAAATTATAAACATTTTTTATTTGATAAAACTTAATAATTATTGCAATTCATAAAATTTTAAACAAACATGACATAAAGCATATAAGAAAATATGCAAATCAAAAACCGGAATAACGATTAGTTGTAAGCTTGATTCGTGCCAAAATTTTGCTATATATGCTTAACAAATTCAGCTTTCAATTATGTGCCCTCGAGGCTCGAAAGTTCTTGTCGGTTTGACTCTAACAGGAAATACCAGACTCCTGGAAAAAATTTCGGTTTAAGACCGATAAACCCATTTATTTGTTTCTGTTTTAGTAAATTAATAACATGATAATTTTTCTCAAGATCTCAACATAATGATTGATCCGTCTTTTTGTAAGATTTGGAAAGCTTATATGAACAAAAGGTAACACAAATCTTACATATAAACTAAAATAAAAAAACGAGAGCGTAAAGCAATATGAATCTAACTTTGAATCCTTGATCGTTCTTCAATCTATCACTATGACTTCATTTTTTATTTTTTTGGTTGAAGTTACGATGTGATCTTCTTCATTGCTTCTTCCCCTCTTATTTTCTGAGTGAATCACAACATCTAACGTTTGCTCTGTCTTCTTCGCAACCACATTCTTATCTATTCGGTAGACAAGATCAGTTTTATCCGCGTTTACATCAATGCACACAATGGAGTCGTCATCGATTTCTTCTCGCACAATCATCATCGATATATCTGTGACCACTTTCCTCTCTAGCCATCTCCTTATAGGCCTAGCACCATACACCTACAATAATAATCATACATAAGTGATACAAATGTAAAATCTCAAGCAACCACAACATATTTATTAAGTGATGATAAGGAAAAAGGACATTCACCGAGTCGTAACTCGCTGCTAAAATGTAGTCCAATGCATCATTTGTGACAGTCATAGATACACCTTTCGCAGCTAGCCGATTAGCAACATTGTTCACTTGGAGTTGAACAATTTTTGTCAAATTCTCGTGGGACAAAGGATGAAACATAACTATCTCATCCAATCTGTTTAATAGCTCTGGCCTGAAATGTTTTTTCACCTCTTTCATTGCATTGTCTCGAGCCACTTGCATTGTTACTTCACCTGTAAGCCCTGAAACAAGGTGCTCAGCCCCAAGGTTAGAAGTCATTATGATCACTGTATTTTTGAAATTGACTGTCCTCCCCTGCGAATCGGTTAATCTCCCGTCTTCTAATACTTGAAGTAACGTGTTGAATACAGTAACATTGGCCTTTTCAACTTCATCAAATAGTACAACACAGTAAGGTCGTCTCCTCACGGGTTCGGTTAGTTGCCCACCTTCTTCATGACCAATGTACCTAAAAAACAAAGCACTATCATTTGAGTTTCCATTATACCATTAATCACAAACACACATAAAAAGAGGCTTGAGTTACAAGCAAGTACCCGGGTGGTGCCCCTATAAGTTTACTAACAGTGTATCTATCCATATACTCCGACATATCAAGCCTAACGAGTAGGTTTTCATCGTAAAAGAGTTGCTCAGCGAGAGCCTTAGCCAACTCAGTTTTACCAACACCAGTTGGACCAAGGAAAAGAAAGGAACCAGAAGGTTGTTGTGGCCTTCCTAGTCCAACCCTCGACCTTAGAATTGCCGCAGCTACAGCTTTCACGGCTTCGTCTTGTCCAACAACTCTCTCGTGCAACTTATCAGCAAGAGAAATCAGCCTCTTCTTCTCGTTCTGGTCAAGTGCAGTCACTGGAATCCCCGTCCATCGGCTCACTACCTCAGCAATATTCTCTGGCCCAACAGTTTCCGTAAGCATCACGTTATCTTTAGCACTCTTTTCTAGTTTCGCTATCGCGGATTCTACTTCCTGAATTGCCCCATATCTTAGATCAGCAGCTTTAGGAAGGTCATGTTGTCTCTCAGCCTCTTGTAGAGCAATCATGAGCTCATCTCTTTTCTGTTTAAGCCTCCGAGTTTCATTAATTATATTTTTCTCATTCTTGTATTTTATCGTAAGAGGCTCAAGCTTGTCCCTCAAGTCATCAAGCTCTTTCCTCACCTGCAAAATAACAAATCAAAGAAGCTCGTATATAAACAACACTAACTAAGCAGACTTATATATAAAGAACATGTTTTGAAAGTAATATACCTCGACTAGGCGAGCTTCGCTAGCTTTGTCGTCCTTCTCCTTTTCGAGAGCATGAATCTCTATCTTTAGTTGCATTGCTTTTCTTTCAAGGTTATCAATTTCTTCTGGTTGACTATCAAGCTGGACTCTTACATGTGCACAAGACTCATCAACCAAATCAATTGCCTTATCCGGTAAACGTCGAGCTACGCAAATACAGAACAGAACAGAACACATATCAGCCAAAACAAAAGAATCATCATAACAAGGACATATAAAATAAAAAGAATTGCGCAACAGACCAGTGATGTAACGCGCAGACAATTGAGCAGAAACAACAAGAGCACTGTCTTGAATACGAACACCATGATGTCCTTCATATTTTTCTTTAAGCCCTCGAAGAATACTGATAGTGTGAGGCACACTAGGCTCAGCTACATACACTTGTTGGAACCTTCTCTCAAATGCGGCATCTTTCTCAACATGTTTTCGGTATTCCTCAAGCGTAGTAGCTCCAATGCAACGAAGCTGACCTCTTGCTAACATAGGCTTAAGCAAATTAGCAGCATCCGTGGAGCCACTTGCTTTTCCAGCACCAAGAGCCATGTGGATCTCATCGATAAAGAGAACAACTTTGCCTTGAGCATTCTCAACTTCTTTCAAGACAGACTTCAATCTTTCTTCGAATTGTCCACGTAGTGTTGTTCCGGCAACCATTGCACCCAAGTCCAAGGAAAAGAGCTTTACATCAGTAAGATTGATAGGCACGTCTCCTTTCAATATCCTTTGAGCCAAACCTTCAACCACAGCAGTTTTTCCAACCCCTGGCTCACCGATAAGCACGGGGTTGTTTTTGGTTCTCCTTGAGAGAACCCCAATTACTCTTCTAATCTCTTTATCTCGGCCAATGACGGGATCAAGCTTACCTGCTTGCTCAACCAAATCTATCCCGTAAGTCTTCAAAACCCGAAGGTTTACCTCCCCAAGAAGCTTCTCCACCTCAGACTTAACCTTCTCAGGCACAAGACCAGCTTCTTTCAACACATCCCTGATTTGAGAATCTTCAAGAAGACTAATTACCAACTCCTCTACTCCCACATTGTTCTCCCCGGGATTTTTTTGTGCACGATTTAAGACCTTAGCAAGACTTGGATTGTTTTGAAGAAAAGTTTTAGGTACTGAGAGAAAATTTTGTTGTTGGAGTAATATGTTATATAGATTTTGAGGAATGCTCCCCCCATTTGATAAGGGAGAAGGAGTCTGTCTTGGAAGATTGTTAGGACTTGGATTTTGAGGAATGGCTCCAGTTGATAAGGGAGGAGTCTGTTTTGGAAGATTCTTCTTAGGACTTGGTTTTTGAGGAATAGCTCCAGTTGTTGTTGGAGGAACCTTTTTAGGGAGCTTGTTTAAGGTTTGCTTGATGACTTTGACAGCTGACTGAGCCAAGAGATCGCTTCCTCCTGCACTTGTGATTGCTCGATAGAAAACACCAGTCTGATTAGAAATCAAAGCAAGTCCGAGATGCAGAGGAGTTACTTGACCATGCGACGCTGACATGGCATGTGATCGAGCCGATGCAAGTATAAGCTGGACCTTGGCGTCAAATTTCGTATCATTCATCTTTTCTCTTAAACCTGTGAAGAGAGAAGAAACCCTAAAAAGTAAAACCTATATATTTGATCAGAGAAACAGGGGAGATAAACGCATATGATCTAGATTCGTTTAATTATATATTCGAGTTAAGAGTTTCAAGCAAAACCTTAAAGATAGTTCGTAGGAGAGAAGGCAGATAAGGGTTTTTAGGTTTACGAAAGAAAAGACTTTCTCTGATTCAGTTTATGTTTTGTAAAAAACAAAGAAAATCAGAAACAGAAGTTTTTGCTTTAAAAGAATAAATATAATATATTGTTTTTTTCGTTTTTCCTTCTTACATACTCCTTTTTTTTTTTTTTTGGTATAGTATGTCGAAATTAAGAAAATTCAATTAGTAATTTGACATTAGTAAGCTGAACGTGTGAAACATCATCCAAAGTTCCAAACCTTAGCCGTCAAAATTTGAATCAAGTTACCTTAGGTAGTTGCAATATTTTAGTAAGCTGAAATTGAATCAAGTTACCTATTAATAAAAACCTATCTATTTAGTTTTTGATGAAGTTCCTAGCAAGCTATCTTAGTAAAACCAGTTGCAGAAAGAAAGAAAAAAGAGTACAAAACTACAAAACACTTAAAAACCAAGTATGCAATATCTAGACATGTACTATTAAACACAACACATTAGGTAAAGCATTTCACAATAAGAACTATGAAAATTTGTGAAACTGTTGCCAACAGGGAATGCAGGAGTTTAGATGATGACTTACAACAGTAAGTGTCAAAGAGTCAGAGCAACACGAACCTTTTTCTGGTGTGTATATGTTACAGCAGCAAGAGGTATCGATCTCAGCATACTGTGTATCAGCAGGGACTATTTGATATGTGATTGCAGCTAAGATCTACAAAACACACACGCCAAATAATCAATTCAGATGCAATGAAGCAGAAAGTCTAAAATGTGATTCATTGGCAGATTAAATAAAAGAGAATCTCCCTATTGGAACAAAACAGCAAACTCTTATGCGCAAAAAAAAATCAATCAAATTATGAAAAGTAAATAACATTCATCCAGGGCCTAAGCTGCTTTAGATCAAGGACTCACTAGAGCAAATAACTAGGGCTGAGTACTTACCTCATCTGAGACTCCACCAAGCGTGGACTTCAAAACCAAAGAACAATACTTTCTGCAAGATAGTGAAATTTTCAAACAAAGCATTATAAAGCTTCCATATTAATCTGCTTAATATCAACAAGTTGTTAAATGAGCTTTCATTTAGTCAAATCAGAAATGCATGAGCGTAACAACATCACAATTGTTCTTAACAAAGCATAATACTTGTGATTCTACTAACTTAATAATATGTTTCTCAAATCCCAAGAATTGATCAAAAAAAGTTCCCATTTTCAACGCTTGATGCTAACACTGCCCTAATCCAATTGAAATCGGAGTAATTTACCAAAGGAAAGTACTGTGTAGAAACAACGGGAGTGGTGCAATCCAGAAACCGGCCCAAATTGGAAGAAGTTCCAGTGGTGGTGGTGCTGCTGGAGACCCGACTCGGCAAAGAACAATCGGAGGTCGAGAACTCTTCAGGTTGATTAATCTCCTTCTCCTCCGCTTTAATCTTACAATCAAGCATCTTCGGTTTGAAGCGAGAGAGACAAAGAGGAGAAATCGCGGTACTTACAATAAGGAAGATGAGTGAAATTGTTTCTGAGGACAGAAGAAGATAAGTCAGGTCCCGACAACAATATACATTTAATTATTATTATTATTTTTCTGGTGATTCAAGAGAGGATTGAGATTGTTCTAAAAATAAGAAATCGCTGGGTTACGATGGCAGTGAGGAGGGTTTTTGTGTTTCAAAGAATTCTGGTTTTGGAGATTTGGTTTTGGTTCCCGGATTACCAAGAGATTGAGTCTCTAGATAGATCCAGATCATATCTCCTTGATCTGACTGCATTTTGGGTATGTATACAAGGCACAGAGGTGATGTTTTGGATACTTAAAGGAAGCTTATCAAGAGCTTTCACAAATAAAAGAGCTCAAAGCATAGGCATGTGTATTGGTTTTGTTTTATTTGGAAATCTTTTAGTAACCAGAGAATTTTTGGAGGTAGTAAATGTAAAGAATGATGTCCTCTTGATTGAGGGAGGTATGTTTACTAACCATGTAATAGCTGATGAAATGGAGGTTGTAATCGAAAAGATAAGAGAGTGGTTCTCAATGGAAAATGCAAAATATACTATAATGGATATTGGTAAGAGTTTTTTTGCTTTGTTGTTAGCAGAAAAGTATGGCTTTGATAAGAAACTATCGGAGATAATGAGTATAAATTCGAGTATGAATCATGGATTGGGTTTAAATCAGGGACAAAGGAAGGTTAATAACAAAATCCTAGTGGATTCAATCATTACTGTTTTAGATTGCTTGTGGGTTGTTCACGGTTCTATACTACGTCCATTATGGTGTCATTTTCCTTGGTTTATATTAGTGAAGATATCACAGATTGGTGGAAATTTTGGTAAAGGTGGTAATGAAGGAGGAAGGAAGATGGGTAGGATAAATGTTAAGGTGCTAAGATTGAGTAATTTGGGATTAAATAATGATCGGTCTCTCGAGGTTTCAAGGGTGTCAACCAAAAAAGAGAGGTTAATCAAAGTGATTGAAATTTTTATTAAGTTTTATGTTCATGTGGAATATGATGGCTTTAATAAAGCTGTAAATTTTATGGAAGATGGGGAAATACAAGACAAATACAAATACAAAAAATTTATTATTATTGTAACGGAAGGAAAGAACCCGAGAAACCAGGGCATGGTGAAGGGTTTTATAGGTGGACGCAACCCACTTAAACACAAAGTTGATAAATGAAGGTTTTGAGTTGGAATTGTCAAGGGCTCGGGAATAAAGCAACTATCGGTTATCTTCGGGACATTTGGAAACAACACCGGCCAGATTTTTTATTTCTTTCAGAAACAAAACAATCTTCTTTTTTATGGAAAAATTTGTCGGTCATTTTGGTTATAAAAATTTAAAAACGGTTGATCCTATCGGTTGTAGCGGCGGTTTAGCTCTTTATTATAATAATGATTTTAATGTTTCTATTGTTTATGAAAGTAATCGGTTAATTGATGTTACAACTGTGGTAAAAGGAAAAACAATTCATCTTACTTTTGTTTATGGTGACCCAGTTCCAAAAAATAGAGATCAAGTTTGGGAACGGTTAACGCGGATCGGATTGACTAGGGATACACCTTGGTTTTTAATTGGTGATTTTAATGAGTTAACCGGAAATCATGAGAAAAGAGGTGGTACTCTAAGACATGCATCTTCGTTTATCCCTTTTAATTTAATGATTCAAAATTGCGGTCTATTGGAGTTCCCATATATCGGAGACTGGTTGTCCTGGCGGGGTTGGCGGGATAAAAAACCAATACGGTGTCGTTTGGATAGAGCTTTAGCGAATGAAGATTGGCATGAATTATTCTGCAACTCTTTCGTTGAATATTTACCAATGGTTGCTTCCGACCATTCACCGGTGGTAGCTACGCTATTGGATAAGATACCACGTGGGAAACGAATCTTTAGGTTTGATAAGAGATGGATTGGGAAGGATGGTTTAATGGAGGCAATTTCAAATGGTTGGAATTCGGAATCTGAATCAGGAGCAGGAAAATTTGTGGAAAAGTTGAATAATTGTAGGCGGGCAATTTCGCAATGGAGGAGAGAACTAACTCCTTATGGGCGGCAAACAATTGAGGAACTTAAAACGGAATTACATGTGGCACAGAGGGATGACAGAAGATCAAGGGAGGAGATTACGGAATTAACATTACGGTTGAAAGAAGCTTATCGAGATGAAGAACTGTACTGGTATCAAAAAAGTAGTTGCTCTTGGATGCAACTAGGAGATAATAACTCAAAGTACTTTCATGCTCTAACAAAACAGAGACGGGCAAGGAATCGGATTACGGGGTTGCATGATGCAAACGGGATTTGGTCTGCGGAAGATAAAGAAATTCAAAATATAGCGGTCTCTTATTTTAAGGATTTGTTTACTACAACCAAGCCTGAGGCTTTTGAGGAGTCTTTGGCTGAAATACAAAGTCTGATTACGGATCAGGTTAATAATTTTCTAACGGCACCTGCTACGGAGAGTGAGGTGAGAACAACTCTGTTTATGATGCATCCGGAAAAATCGCCAGGGCCCGATGGCATGACAGCTTTATTTTTCCAAAAGGCTTGGATTACAATTAAATCAGATCTTCTTGTTCTCGTTAATTCTTTTTTAGAGGATGGAATTTTTGATAAACGGTTAAATACGACAAATATTTGTCTGATTCCAAAAACGGAAAGACCGACACGGATGACGGAATTACGGCCTATTAGTCTATGCAATGTGGGCTATAAAATTATATCGAAGATTCTTTGTCAAAGACTTAAAACGGTTTTACCAAAACTGATTTCGGAAACGCAATCGGCTTTTGTCGAAGGACGATTGATTTCGGATAATATACTTATTGCACAAGAGATGTTTCATGGGTTGAGAACAAATCCGAGATGTAAAGGAAAATTCATGGCCATTAAAACTGATATGAGTAAAGCTTATGACAGAGTGGAATGGATTTTCGTTGAGAAGGTTCTAAGAAAATTAGGTTTCTGTGAGAAATGGATTACCTGGATAATGTGGTGCATTACAACAGTTCAATATAGAGTGCTCCTTAATGGGCAACCGAGAGGATTAATTGTACCAGAAAGGGGATTACGACAAGGAGACCCGCTTTCTCCTTATTTATTCATCCTTTGTACAGAGGTACTAATTGCGAATATTCGGAAAGCAGAAAGGGAAAAACTAATTACGGGTATTAAGATAGCAAATGCAAGCCCTTCGGTTTCACATCTGTTATTTGCGGATGATAGCTTATTCTTTTGTAAGGCAAATAAGGACCAGTGTGAGGTAATTTTGGGGATTTTAAAGAAGTATGAAGCGGTCTCCGGACAGCAGATTAATTTTTTAAAATCTTCGATTCAGTTTGGACATAAGGTAGATGAGGATATCAAGGAGGAAATCAAATCTACCTTGGGAATCACTAATATCGGTGGGATGGGTTCTTATCTTGGTCTGCCAGAGAGTTTGGGTGGATCTAAAACAAAAATTTTCTCTTTTGTCAGAGATAGATTGCAAACAAGAATTAACGGATGGTCGGCAAAATTTTTATCGAAAGGTGGGAAAGAAGTGATGATTAAATCGGTAGCTGCAGCATTACCAACTTATGTTATGTCGTGCTTCAGACTACCGAAAACAATCACTTCTAAACTTACTAGTGCGGTTGCTAAATTTTGGTGGAGTTCAAATGGAGATTCCAGAGGTATGCACTGGATGGCTTGGAATAAGTTGTGCAATAGTAAATCGGAAGGAGGATTACGCTTTCGGCATGTAGACGATTTTAATTCAGCCCTATTAGCTAAACAATTATGGCGGTTGATTACGGTTCCAGATTCTCTATTTGCGAAGGTGTTTAAAGGGCGGTATTTTCGGAAATCCAATCCCTTGGAAAATATTAAATCATACTCCCCATCATATGGATGGCGTAGTATCTGTTCAGCTAGATCTCTGGTTAATAAAGGACTTATTAAAAGGGTCGGATCGGGGAAATCCATCTCAGTTTGGGAAGATCCCTGGATTCCAGCTCAATTCCCGAGACCAGCAAAGAGTAATGGTTCACTTGTTGACCCATTGTTAAAAGTAAATAATCTTATAGATAGTCGGTCGAATTTTTGGAATATTGCTCTCCTAGAGGAGATCTTTGATCCAGAAGATATCGCCATCATAAGTGCCCTACCTGTGGGTACGCCAACTAAGGAAGATACACTGGGTTGGCATTTTACAAGATCCGGAAAATATACAGTCAAATCGGGATATCATACCGCACGGTTAGGAAATTTGGAGACAAATATCTCATTGATTGGTCCAGACATAAAACCGTTAAAAGCACATTCTTGGCAAGTGCATTGTCCACCTAAGATACGTCATTTCTTGTGGCAAATTTTAACGGGTTGTGTACCAGTTACGGAAAATTTACGGAGAAGAGGAATTGATTGTGATACAGGTTGTGCTAGATGTGGCGAACCAGTGGAGACAATCAATCATACACTCTTTCAGTGCCACCCAGCACGACAGGTTTGGGCACTCTCTCAGATTCCTTCAGCAATGGGAATTTTTCCAACGGAGTCTATTTTTGCGAATTTGGGCCATTTATTTTGGAGAATACCTTCGGAATTTGACTCTTCAGCCTTTCCATGGATTATCTGGTATATATGGAAAGCAAGGAATGAAAAAATATATGAAAATATTGATAAAGATCCGTTAGAGGTATTACGGTTAGCGGAAAAAGAAGCACAATTGTGGCAGTCTGCCCAAATTGAGCTTCATCATGAAACTCATGGTACTGTGGAATTGGTTAATCGGTCTCGAGTGGGGAATACTTCACTTGACTCAATTTATTCAGGATACCGTTGCTTTGTGGATGGATCGTGGAAAGAAAGTGATAAGTTCTCCGGTACAGGATGGTTCTGTACATCATCAAACGGAGAGCCGCCAACCATGGGAGCTGCAAATCTCCGTCGAAGTTTATCTCCATTACATACCGAGTTCGAGGCCCTTCTCTGGGCGATGAAGTGTATGATAGGTGCAGATAATCAAGAGGTAGAGTTCCTTACAGACTGTTCTGATCTGGTTAAGATGGTGTCTTCTCCAACCGAATGGCCGGCGTTTTCAGTGTACTTGGAAGAATTTCAGAGCGACAAGGAAGAATTCTCATCCTTCTCTTTATCTTTAATTTCTCGCAATGCTAATGTAAAAGCGGATCATCTGGCACGAAAAATTCGTACAGAACCGCTTCATATCACATTTGTAAACAACATTCCACAGGAATGGCTCTTTTGAGCTCTAATTAATTTCAGATGACAAAAAAAAAAAAAAATACAACTTTTCTCTTTCTTTTAACATAAAATTCAATTTTATAGATATGTCTTCATGTATGTTATTTTAAAAAAAAGATCAACATACTTTTCTTTTCCAATTATAAATAAATAAATTAAATTGGTTCAGTTTAATAATCAAAATTTAAAAAAATTCGAGTTATAACCATAACTATTATGCAAATCATAATTGTCACCCCTAATATTTTCATTGCACAACAAAACTATATATATTAAAGAGATATATTATTTAATTTACAAACAAACAAAATGAAAAAAACTAAATATTATTTAACTTCAATTACATAATTTAACAATAAAATTAACAAACTATCTATATATACATTATACCAAAAAAATATATATATATCCTGTTGTTTGTTTTTACTAGCCAGTTCAATGGATATATCCAAAATTATTATATTATACACCATCAAACCTAAAACACAATTAATACACTCACAACTATTAATATAGATATATAGATATATAGATATATAGATGGTACATTTAGAAAATACAAATAATATATTATAATCTCTATTAATAAACAAAACAAATTATATTTAAATTTTTTATAAAATATTATAGCCCCACGGTGTACCGCGGGTCCAAATCTAGTATATTAGTAAGCTGAAATTGAATCAAGTTACCTATTTTCTTTTCCCTTACCTTAAACGTAGAAGATTTATGAATTTCGATTCCGGCTTTTTTGAAAAACTAGAAACCCTATATCCAAATAATTAAGTTGTGATAAATTTATAGGAAAAAAAAATCAAATTTCCACTGATACAGTAAAACCTCTATAAATTAATACAGTTGGGACTATGGAACCGAAAAATATATTGATTTATCGAGTAATAATTTATAGAGGTTATATTGTATATATATTTTAATTCCTGCTGAAACTATGAAACTAGCAGGACTAGTAAAATATTTAATGAAAAAAATGTAATTCTTATTTTGAGTTTTTGACTAAATTTTTCTTTATATTTTTTGTCAAATACAATAACGAACTAAACTCACAAACATGAATTTTATGTAAAGAATCGGAGAAAAATAGATTAGAAGAAATCATGACCTTCCATCTTTCTCTTATTTGCGACATGTGTCAATCATTTGATAAGATTTTGCATGTTGAAAGTTTTTTTTTTAGTTAGATTTTGGCATATGCTAACATTTTAATAAAAATTACAAACTTTCAACATTAAAAAAAAAAAAACATATATAATAAATTATTAAAGTAGATATCTAAAAAGGATATACGTACTTTAATTAAAACAAGAAACTTTTATGAAAAAAGCAAAACTCATTAATAAGGAAAAATATTATATAAAACTTTACTTTTGAAAATTATTAATTAACATAATCACATGTGTCAGTCAGATTTCAATGCATGTTTTTTCATCTAATTAGATTAAATAATTAAAAGGAAAAAGAAATTAATTTGTATTTCTTCATATCAATTTAGAGAAGAAAAAGTAAATTCGAATATGATTATAAAAGTTAATCTAATTTAAATAGTTATTTTAGAATCAAAATTTGAAGGTTTTTAAATATAGTAAATTGTTAATCGTAAAAAGAAAAATTTACAATTAATATATTTTTAAAAATAGAGAAAAATTATTATTTGATTTCAATCGTTACGTTCAGGTGAAAAAGGTGAATACTAATGGGCCAATAATAATATAGTCTCACTAATAATGGGCCTCTGCAGCCCATAAACATGTAAACATTTAAAATTGAAATCTCTGAGTGTTCTTATTTCTCAGTCTATAGAGAGTTTGAAACAACAAGCTCTCGCCTCTCGCATCGTTGATTCTCCAAAACCAGTCTTCACTCTCTATTGCCGATTCTCGTTTCGTTTCCTACCTTCGGAATCTAAAAACAGAGGTATGGGTTTATTATTCTGCATTCTGCTGATTTTCTCAACCAATTTCTCAGACATTTTCAGTCTAAGGTCTTGGTCGATGGGTTGCTAGAGAAAATGTGGAAAAAAATGATGGTCTGAGTACTTAATCGTAAAATGCAAATACAAAGCTTTTGTGGGTCTTTTAAAGTTGGTAACTTTTGATAGAATTTTTGATGATTCTTCCTTGGTTACTTTCATGCCTGCGTAGTGTTTGTTTAAATGCCTGTGAGAAGAACTTTTCACTGAAAAGCTCATTTTTTTTGTTCAGTGTTCGTCTTGGTAGATATATAATGTGAAACTGGTTTCTGATTCTCTGTTTTGAGTACTGTAGATTTATGAAATTGGTACTTTGCTAATGCATGTCTAGATTGTGTCTAGATTCTTTTAAAAACAGAAACTTTGATCTTATCTTGTGGATAAATTACTGGGAAAACAAAATTTAGGTTACTGATGATGATTTGTAAAACCTAGATGTTCGTTTCAGAGAAAAAGCTCGAAATTACTGTCTACTTCCTTTTTCTTTCTCTGTGATCTTTCAGTTTTGATTTAGTCAAGAGTTTTGATAATAGTAAAGTATTTCTAGTCTTTGGATCAATGATGATAAGTATATGCATGTTGACATTTGTTTTGATTTGGTTTTTGAAGGTTGGCAAAATGTTTCTTAAAGTCCAGTTACCATGGAACGTGATGATTCCAGCTGAAAACATGGATGCCAAAGGGCTGATTTTGAAGAGAGCTATACTAGTAGAGTTACTAGACGCGTTTGCTTCCAAGAAAGCGACCAAGGAGCTTGGTTACTATGTGGCAGTCACAACTTTGGACAAGATCGGAGAAGGCAAAATCAGGGAGCATACCGGGGAAGTTTTGTTCCCGGTAATGTTCAGCGGGATGACTTTCAAGATCTTCAAAGGAGAGATAATTCACGGTGTGGTGCACAAGTTGTTGAAGCACGGTGTCTTCATGAGGTGTGGTCCAATCGAGAATGTTTACCTTTCCTACACGAAGATGCCGGATTACAAGTATGTCCCTGGAGAGAATCCGATCTTCATGAATGAGAAGACCTCTAGGATTCAGGTTGAGACTACAGTGAGGGTTGTGGTGATTGGGATAAAGTGGATGGAGGCAGAGAGGGAGTTTCAGGCGTTGGCTAGCTTGGAAGGTGACTATCTTGGACCAATATCTGAAGAGTGATCTGCTTCATGTGATGAGGTTTTTCGGCAATCTCTTATGTCTATATAACTCGGGTTTAGTTTGTGTTTGGTAAGTACTCTCAAGTTGTGCAAATAATGAACCTTGATCTTTGAATGTAATGATGTTATCCACCTTCAAGAGGAAAGACTGGTCTAATATAGGTTTTTGATATTGGTAGTGATTTTTGCTTTCTTATGAGGCTTTTCCATGATAAGCTCAGATTCTAGTGAGACTCTGGAATCGAAGTCAAACCGAATTGCTTAGAAATATTTCTAACCGAAGTTAACCGAACCAATCTCAGAGCACATATTTGGATTAGTCATCACCATTGAGACATCTCTATCATCTCTAGTTTCAGTAGTCTCCAGATTTCGAAGCAGCGTATGAGTTTTTTTTTTGTCAGTGATTATTTCTGCCGCTATTGAAACGGTGCCGTTTAAGTTGTTAATTCAGAGTATACTACGGCCCAGCCCAATCATCGTTGAGTTTGTGAAGACGAAAGAAAGCCCACGAGAATCACATAAGATTTTTTTATTAGCTAATTTATAAGGCAGGAGGACACGTGGCTCTCTAGCATTGGTGAATCTCCAAGATATTCATTGGAGAACATTAACCGACTTTGGTTTTGTCTTTTGATAATTATAAACCGACTTTTCCTCATTGTGTTTTCATCTGCACCGTCGATTGCTTAACACAAACAAATAAGATCCGTAGGATCTCTCCGAAATCTTAAACCGACTCGTGCTTATGTTTTTTGCTCCCTCTATATAATGTGGTCGGTGATCGTTTATTGCTTTCATTGATTATCTCCTTGTTTGATCGATAATATTCTTTTTAGGGTTTTGCTCGAATTTGTGTGACAACATCTGATCAACTCTCGTTGATATGTAATCAACCCTCGTTGATATAGTTCTAATCAACCCTTGTTGATATCTATCATCAACTCTTGTTGATCCTCATCATGATCAACGTCTGTTGATCTATCTAATCAACCCTCGTAGATCAACATTCAGAAGTTGGTGTGTAATGAAAAAAGGAAGGATCTTGGTAATATCATGTGAGTTTGGTTTCTAATTAATTCTTTGTGAGATTTTTTTTGTAGCTTTCGTTGATTATCCGTGGAATCTCTTTGTCTGACCAATGATCTTTTTGTTAGGGTTTTGCTTGTCATCCAGGTACGCTATTTTCTATGTCTAGGTGTTTTTATTTTAGTTATGCCTAGGGTTCTTTTCTATGCCTAGGATTTTGTTTAACGGCTAGGGTTTCTCGATACCATTGCTACTGTTTCTCAGTCTTTCGGATCTTCTGCTTACATATCTTGTAATATTGTATTAAAGTCTACTAACTCAATTTGTTTTCTATTCTTGTAGAGATTAATATGAGCGTACGGCAACAAAACAACATCTGATCAACTCTCGTTGATATTCCATAATCAACTCTCGTTGATCCTAATAATCAACTCTCGTTGATCCCATATCCTAATCAACTCTCGTTGATCCTTATAATCAACTCTCATTGATCCTTTTAGTTATCAACTCTCGTTGATCCTTAATCAACCCTCGTTGATAAATAAGAAGCAAGGATCTTGAATATATCTCCATATATTTAAGACTTTCACAGGTTTAATGTTTGAGCTTTCAAACTGAAAAGAAACAGATGTATAAAGCAAAAGGATGGTGATGTATCTGACCTTTGCCATGACAGGTGCGCTTGCTTGGCAGGTCTAAGACTAAAACCCTCAATAATATTAGCGTACGTGTATAAAACAATATATGATCAACTCTCTCGTTGATCCTTATAATCAACTCTCGTTGATCCTCTCATCATCAACTCTCGTTGATCCTAATCAACCCTCGTTGATCGAAAGAATCAGATGTATATAGAAAATATGGAGGGGATGTATATGACCTTTGCCATGACATGTGCGCTTGCTTGGCAGGTCTAAAACCCTAAATAAAAAGATTCAATGTTTGGTTTCGTGGATGGCACGGGATTGGTTGATACTCGTTCTTGGCCCGGCTTTCCTTCTCTTCGGACTGTGTGTATTGTTTCTTTCTTATTCTCTTGCTGTCTCATATTCTTCTTACATATTACAAAAAGTTATCATATGTGCACTATAATATTTTGAAACAGGAAGAGAATCACAGACCCAATATTGAGCAACACCTTGTGCTCTTTAATATGCTTCTTGCATGGACAATGAGCGACGAGAATCACAACCACTAAATCAAAGGTAAAGAGGTAATGATTATATTTTCTTAACCGGTCGTGGTGTTTGATATATTTCCTATTTTATATATTATCATATTACACGTGGATTCTGTTGGAGTTGTTGTGCGGTTCGAAGTGTCCGCGGTGGCGCTGTGCGGTTTAAGGAAAGACGACACAAGAGAAGAAAACTTTTTATGTTCTCGCGACGATGGAAGGTGACGATTCACTTGGTCCATCTATCTTACAGGCTCGGAAGGGCGATAAATGTGGTTTGTTGAAACCTAACTATTAAGCCAAAGCTGAAAGACTTTAAATACGTGTTGGTTTTAGGTTAATATTTGTTCCTATGTTATTTCTCTTTTGTACTTTGGTATAGATGTATAGGCGAACAAATCATCTCTATTAGAATGTAATCTTGAAGATGCTGATATGATATTATTGAGATTTTTATGTTACTTGAATCAAGTAATTCAACTTCATCTAAGATTCTCTATTGAAATTTATTATTGAGACAAGCCAGCAAACGAGTTTAGATTTGAGAGAGATGAATAGAAGGAAATAATTATTATTTGAAAACAAATCAAGTGTAATAAAATGAATCAAGTATGTTGGAAGAAATTTTTCAAAGTGATGGAAAAGAGTTTTGTACTATTACTAGAATTTAACCCGCGGTATACCGCGGGGCTATATTTTTTTAAGAAAATGTAATGTTATTTTTTAAAGATTAACTGAAAATATATCATATTAATTTGTATTTTTAATTGTAGATATCTATCTATCAATTTTTGAAATATAGATACGAAAACATACATTTTTTTTAAGTAACGATGTATGGTGAATTTTAAAATTTTGAATATTTTACTCTGCAGTATACCGTGGATCGGTTTTTTTAAATTAAAAATTTTAAATTTAAGTTGGATTTGTTTTGTTAATATTGTTTCTTTTGTTTTGTGTTTAAGATTGTATAATTATATTTTGATTGTTAATTTTAGGATTTCATCCGTGATATACCGTTATTTATTAATATCGACCCAAACCCGTCATCCTATATAAACCCGTCTATATTATCTCGGTAGCTAAATTATTAGTGTTATAAAATCCAAGAAAATAAATTATTATTGTTAGAAAATCTAATAATTTTAGGATCTCACCCGTGGTATACCGTTCTTTGAACGATTTTAAATTTATACTACTAATATATATTTTAAATTTATCATAGAAAGTATATGATTTCAAGTTTTTGTGTTTGTTTTTATTTAAATAAATCAACGGCTTAAATGATGATAGATATAGTTCTTTTTCATGTATGTGTATATGGTTTTTCTATGTGAATATTTTGATTATTATAAATTAGTATTTTAATTGCTATGCAAAATGTTAATATAAATATTTGCTATAATGTTTTTTGAAGATATATGGAAAGATTGTGTAGAGATTTAACAAATTAGGCAAGATATTGTTTGGTTAATATCTTTTATTTAAATTTTGTAAAAGTAATAATAAATTTCAATGGCATGAACTCGTAAATAAGGTGGAACTCCAGGATTTATTTCATAAATGTCTCCAAAAATGTATATATATATATATATATAGAAGATTTAGAGGTGATTTGAGGAAATGCAAGTTTTACGCAACTTTGATTTTGAGATGTAGAGTAGAGAATTAGAGATGTTGATATTTTTTTAAGAAAAGAACTCTAGAAGACTAGAACCAATATAAAATTGGGTTTTTGCCCAACTGATAATTGTATCTATGACCCAACAATCGAAACTTGATTCAAAAATAAAGTTTACCGTTCAACACTCCCTTTTGAATTTGATTTTGCTACTTCAAGTCTTCAAGCAACTTCTCATCTTGATAAAGTTTTAGCGTTTGAATTTTGAAAGGCTTGGCAAAAATAAAAAAGGCTTGGTGTAAATATTGATTAAATTAATCATGTGACTTCACATACTTCAATTATACACCCTTCTTGATAACATACTCTCTAATGCCGTGATATCATGTGTTATTGTACTTACTTCTTCGATCATAAAAAAAGGATATTTTGCAGGGGAAAATACCAAAAAAAAAACCTCATTTATCTTTTATTTAGACGTTTTATACTCAATACTTTTTCGGTTAGAAGAAAATACACATGTTAATTAAACTGTGCGATTTAATACTCAAACTATTAAATGTTTTTATTTTCATACCCATGATCTCACAATAAAAATAAAATTCTAATTTTACCCTTATCATCTTAATTAATTGTTAATTTTAAGATGGTGTAGCATTAATTTTAATTAATTAAAATAAAAATTAACATTTATTAATATTTCGTTTTTATGTTGTCCCAAAAAATATATTTAGTTTTTATTACAATTACTTTATTTTTAAAATTCAAAATAATATAAATTAGTAAACAATCTTTAAAAAAATTAATAACAATTAGCATATTTATGAATTGATGAATCTTGAGAAAGAAGATGAGATTCATATTGAGATTTTGTCGAAAACAGTTTGATTCGTGAAAAGAGAAAGTTTCTCATGACAAAGAAGGAGTTCATATCAATGCTCGTTGATATCATACGCATCACAACGAATAAAATCAAATTAATTCTATTGGTGATTAAGATTTTACATACGAGTAAGAGGAGGAGGAGGTCGTGTACCTATTTGTGTAAGAGTTTATTTCTTATTTTCTAACAATAATTTGGGTCCATTTGTATTTTAAAAACTTAAAAGAGATACTAATTACTTAGTTTTCTGAAAATCTATAAAAAAACATTTAATAATTAAAAGAAAGCCTAAAGTGCAAATTGTGAACTAAGATGTTTATAGAAATGATTGAACAAATATTGTTTGTAACTTTATCTGGATAAAAGCAAAGAATGTATAACAATTGTTTGTCCGGAACCACCGTCGAGCAAGACTCCATTATATAGTTTCCCATTACAAGCTACCATTGAATTAATGCAAACGCGAAAAAACTGATTTCGTTGTTATGCCAAAATAATTTGAAGTTTATCCATAACTTTTTTAAACAATTAGGAAAGATATATCCATAATATAAATTTAATCTCAATCATCTATGTATGAAAAGAAACTGATTCTAGTTAGATTGATCACATTCAACACAAAGGCTTTAATCTCCTAAATGAACTATTCCACAACCGTTTTCACCAAAATCAGCTCATAGTAATCAGAGTGAGCATCCATACACTTAATCAACATTTATAAGTGTTCCTTAAACTTATTGAAACTTAGAGTGTCCTCCACAAAACCTTATATGATTCTTTGCAACCACCTTTTTTATGAACTCACAAACCGCACAAGTAATTCCTTGTCCCTGTTTAATTTGTATCTCTTCCTTTGGTTGACTACCGGCGATTCTCCCAGTTTCAGCGGGAAGAAAGCGTAGAGCTCCCTCATCATTAATTCTATAATAGTTTTCGCAATCAATTCTAGTTGATTTCTCTTTTTCTTCGGCTAGGCTCCCATTTTTTTTGAAACAACTTGGTCATTTTTGAGAATTGGATTTAGTAGATAACGTAATTCCCATATTTTCAACCGTGATATCGGATCGTACATTCAGACGGTGAATAAAGTAACAGATAATGATGATTAGAGCAGTTGAAATATATTACTCTTTTTGAATCTGAAAATAGATTTTTTTAGAGTTTATTAAAATAATATTTAATTGAAAATGCGACACTTTTTATATTAAACAACTTTCCCATAACCGTAAACCAATAGTAATTCAATAAATTCAATTTTTCCAATTTTGTTTTTGTTTACAATTTATTATTAATAATTTATTAAAAATATGTATAAAACCTAAAAGATTAATCTCTAGAAAATAAAATAAAAACGTAGAAAATCTTTCTTTAAAAACGGAGAGGAGGGATATAACCGGCCGGGAAAAGATCATGTCTCAATGTAAGCTAACAAATGACTTTCCATTGTCATAAAACTTAAAAATGACTCTCTATGAATATTGATCCAATTCACCGTATTTTCGTGTGAAACGAAAAGAATACTAAAGATGAAACATAAAAATGTATGCTACTCAATTAATGTAAGTTTTAGACTAAGAAAAAAAATCAACAAAATGAGAATATATTCTAACAAAGACTTAAAAGATTACGGGTGGCGACAAAAAAACAATTAAGAGTAGGTAATTCAATCGGTTTTTGAGTTTTTCTTAAGAGTTATAATTATATCTAGGTTTTCAACTAAATTTTTAATTAAAAAGAAAATGGCTTCAAAAAGTATGTAAGACTATAAAAGAAAAACCAATTTGTTGTAATCATTACATGATGAAACAGCCGAACTCACTCTAATTGCTAACCAATAATTGCATATTAACTAGTTAAAATGCTGTCTATACTTTTATCCTACTACTTAAATTTATTTTCTAAGATATCTAATATTACAAAAAGGATTGGTTTGAGGAATTCCAGCAAAAAAAGACCTCTTATGTTTTTATTAAACGTAAAAGAAGAGAAAAATGCTTTCAAAAGTTGAAAGCTGATTATGGGCTATACCGTAGCTCAAATCAATTAAATTATATCCAAGATAAAAGTTAGAGAAGAAAAAATGATTAAAGATGAGGTCCATTGGCTCATAAGAGTTTTCTTATGAATATTTGAATTATAAATGTTTACGAATCATTTCCTCACTTAAAAGGGATGAACATATTGACCCACCACCACCATTAGTCCCTTCTAATTTCTTACGACTCTATTAGTGTCCACTGCTTACCAAACATTGAATCATAAACTAAAATTATGTTTTCCAATGGCCAAGAATGGTTGAAATAATGGTTGGGCCATAGAACTAGTAAATTTATATAACTTTAGAATCTACCTCTTCTACATTAGCAAAGACAACATATTACTTGAATATGGAACAATGAAAAGTACCAAGAATTGTGGGTTTTAAATGGGATTTGAAGATTCACAAACAAAATATCTAGAATCGAGAAAGATAGTGTGTTTGTGCGATTTTTTTTTTTTTTTTGGAGACTATTTACAAAACCACACCCTTTAATATTCAAAATCTGCTTAGTGGTACATGGGATGGCAAATTTTTATAGGTACAAGATTTTACTTTTATTATAAAACTAGCATTTTTATTGATATTTTTTTTCTTATCATATATTTATCTATCTTTTAACTCTGATTTATAGCGATATCTCTATCAAATAATATTCATTGTTTTATACAAGTCTAGATTTAGTAGATACTAATCAAGTTTTTTCTTTTACAACATTATCTAGAGATTTAGCGGAGTTCTTGAAATACTAAAGTTATGGCTAAAATTCTACATTGAGTGGTTGGACCTCAGTTTAAAATGGTCCAATTTTAGATATTGTGCCTCCGACTTATAAATAGAAGTGACCTACGGTTTTATATGAAAAATTTACATATCATATGGTCTCATAATGTTGTGTAGGGTCCCAACAAAGTGACGCCAACTAATAATCATTTAATCAATTTATAACAAAAATCAATAAAATTACCAAACATGCTTTATCAAGCAAGACACAAACAGTACCCGGAACTCTCCGTTTAGACAGAAACCTCTAATTGCTCTCTGTTTCAATTTTTCAGAGATTTTGATCTACTGAAAATTGAACAAAGGAGATGATATGGGAAACAACAACGCCACTGCCATTTTAACAGGTAAACCAACAATAGTCTTTTGTTTTGTTGTATTGTATTTTTTTTTGTTCTCACTGAATATATATGTCTGTGTAATTGCAGATCAAGAAGAGAGGTCAAAGCTAGAAACCAATGGAGTGTCTCCATTGGCCTCTTCCGTAGATACCACGCAAGACCAGGTGTTTTTTGCTGGTGAAGGTAAAGATGGAGATGAAGAGAAAGAGAGCTCAAAGCTAGAAACCTTGGATTATGTTTCTTTAGAGACCGTGCAAGATCAAGTGTTTCTTGCAGGTGAAGAAAAAGATGGAGATGAAGAGAATGAGAGCTCAAAGCTAGAAACCAATGGGATGTCTCCATTCGACTCTGTTTCTTTAGAGACAGCGCAAGATCAAGTGTTTCTTGCAGGGGAAGAAAAATATGGAGATGAAGAGAATAAGAGTTCAAAGCTAGAAACCAATGGAATGTCTTCATTGGAATCTGTTTCCGTAGAGATCACGCAAAAGAAGGTGTTTCTTGCGGGTGAAGAAAAAGATGGAGATCAAGAGAAAGAGAGCTCAAAGCTAGAAACCAATGGAATGTCTCCATTGGAGACTGTTTCTGTAGAGATCACGCAAAAGCAGGTGTTTCTTGCGGGTGAAGAAAAAGATGGAGATCAAGAGAAGGAAATCTCAAAGCTAGAAACCAATGGAATGTCTCCGTTGGACTCAATATCCGTAGAGACCAGGCAAGATCAGTTGTTTCTTGCTGTTGAAGAAAAAGATGGAGATAAAGAGAAAGAGAGCTCAAAGCTAGAAACCAATGGAATGTCTCCATTAGACTCTATGTCCTTAGAGACCACACAAGATCAGTTGTTTCTCGCATGTGAAGGAAAAGAAGGAGATGAAGAGAAAGAGAGTTTGTCTAATGGTGTTGAAGAAACAGAACAACATAGCAAGGAACTTGTTGATGAATGGAAAGTAAAAAAATTCAAAGAAGAGATGGACCAGAGTGGCTTGGTAATGGAAACAGCTGAGAAGCTTCAAAAACAGACATCAGTTGCGAAAGGTTGATCTAAATTTTGCTATCTTCTCTTCATATTTGAAAGTAAACCTAATGCAATCCTGTCTCTTTATTCATTATCAGGTGTTGAAACTTTGAGTGAAGCAAGAGAAGTGGAAGAGTTGTCTATGAAGGGAACTCAAAGTGTTGTGAGCAAATTGAATTCGACAGATTCTGATAATGAAGAGAAGCTCTGTGTGATTGATGAGATTGTCTTTATATCTCCAAGCTCTCTTGGAACTGTTGGAACTGAAGAAAACATGGTGAATGAGTCTCTGGACGAAATTGTTCATTCAGAGGAAGTTGTAAAGCTTGATCAAGAGACTGGTATGGAACAGAGGACAGGAAGGGAAGGGTTTCCTGAAATCGAGCCACAGGAGATTCTGAATCTGGACTATCTCGTTGTTCATGATGAAGAAGTTAAAGATGAAGGAACAGTCGATAAGGCGATCTCTAACTCTAATCCTGGTTCGCAAGAGTTAAATGCAATTCAAGAGACCAGTCTTGGAGTTTATAAAGAAGAGAAGAACAAAAGAGAAGCGAGTCTAAAACGCATGTATAGATGTAGATCGCTACCAGTGAGCCAGAATAGTAGAATTATCGGAGATTCGCTGGTTCAACAGTTAGTTTCAGAGGTTGTGTTTCCTTCAAGAAACAAGATGGGTTTAGAGAAAGCTAACACGGCCGAGGCTCTACTTGTTCCTTGCGTAGAAAGCAACAAAGCGCAAGAAACTATTGAAGTGATAACTAAAAGCAATAAAGAAGCTAGACTTGAGATGCGAGCACCTACTTTCGGTCATGACCTAAGAATCGAAGAAAGAAGCGATGAATCGACAGAGAATACTCCGCTACTCTGTGAGGACAAGACTGAGATATACGAGGCAACAATCGATGTGGAAGAGAAAACTGTGATGCTGAAGAGAAGTGAGTCTGTGAAATCAAGAGGCAGCGAGAGGTCTCTAGGGTTGTTGAAGAAACACAATGATAGCATCAAAGAAACCAAGGGCTCAGAAGAAAACTTGGTGGACAAGAAAGCTTCACCGGATTCTATGAAAGGCATAGTCAAAAAACGAAGTAAATCTTCGCTTTTGGGAACATGCCTTTGTTGCACCACCGCAATGAATTGAACTAATTATTTTGTGATTTGATGGTTTTTTTTTTTTTTAATTATTGTTTTGAGAAATTTGGGAGAAAACAAATGAAAGTGTGGATTGGGTTTTCTGTATACTTGAGATGGGATTTTCTGTTTGAGGGATTTTGGTAAAGTAAAGTTTTACTGCCTTTAATTTTTATTTTTAATATTTTGTTACTAAATATTATATGGGCATGGCTTTCTCACAGTCTCTCCATTTTTTTTTTATTTACACAAATATCACTTCTATTATTCTTTACATAAAAATACATTTCCGAGAAGCGTCTAGACTAGTGATTTAGCCATTAGATCTTCTCGTTTGACATAAGAAGTTCCACTCCTCACTTTCATGGGGAACAGAAAATATATCGAAATACTTTAGTATTCACATATAATCAATCCGCAAGAAAATTACTTTTCTTATTCATTCGCTAAATATAATTCCAAAATCATACTGAAAAAGCTATAATTCAAAGATTGCGAGAAGAAGAAAATAATCATATAGGAAAAACACCTATAATTAGAGTTCCAAAATCATATAGAAAAAGCTATAATATAGAGATAGATTGGATCTGACCGCTACATAATAGATAAAACAAAACTGGATCTGAAAATTTCAATGAATGTAGAATAATGGAATTTGTTGAGATGGTGTGAACACAAAGTAGTAGCAACTAACAAGGTAATTAAGGATCATTGGCTTATATAATATGTAGAATAAAATTTAAAAAACAATCAGCCAATTTTGATCATCATCTTGACAAATTCATCATAATTGACTTGGCCATCACCATCCAAATCTGCCTCCTTTATCATTTGTTCAACTTCTTCATCTGTTAGCTTTTCCCCTAGATTTATCATTACATGACTCAACTGCAGTAACAAAAAAGTCTTTCACGTTAAGAAATAAATTAACCTAATAGTTAGTCTAATTAGTGTAAATTAAATTGTGCATGTTAATAATTGTTTTTTTTTTTTTTCATTTGAATCAGCAATAGTTGGTCAAACCTAACTTGAACCATTTCTGATTTCCGTAAGAAAATTATGCACAAACCAAATTCATACAATTGTTTAGTTTTTTAGATTTTTTTTCTTTAAAGTTGTAAACAAAAAAACAGCTGGTTTTAGCTTAAGTTTGACTAATCGACATATAGAACCCCAAATCTTCTGCCTATAATGCTATTTATAAATTGAATTATGTTGTGCATATATAAAAAGGTGTATGCATAAATGTAACTTTTGAGGATGTAAAGAAAGGTATATGTCTATATTTATTTAATTAAACTAGGTGAAACATGTGCCCTCCTGTCAAATAAACCAATAGAATCAAACGCATTTTACTCTATCTAACTACTTTCTAAGTATTAATTGTTTTTCTTTGGGTTCCTCCTCGTTCTTCTCTAAAGATTCAGAATGCCAGCTAGCTCTAAGCCTTCACGATGGAAAACAGACTTTCGAAAAGATAAAACCAAATAAATAAATGGCCATGTCTTGTTAAAAAAATGTTTTAAACTGTTAGAACATAAATGAGACAACAACTATGGATCTCTTTAAATTGGAAGATCGTCTGGCTTTGTTGTCTGATATTTGTCATTGATTCTAAGTATGTGAAAGTGTGTTTTAGCTGGATTTCTCGTTTTTCTAGTTAATGCAGATTTAATTGGTCCAAGTGGTTTCATAAAAATAATATGCTCATAATTAGTATGCTTAGCCTGGATTTGACACTTTAGAGATATAGAGCATGTACCACTTAAGAAGAGAAGAAATTTATGAAATTGGTTCATGTACCTAAACTAAATTCGACAATAACCAAATTTAGATAAGGATTTTTAGTAGACACAAAAATCTATTCAATTATGGCTCTAATCATTTATAAACATATAAAAACAGAGTTAGACCGTACATGGTATTATTGGCGAACGTTGTACAAACGCAATCCAGTACAATGAACTAATTTGTTTTTATAAGTTCTTAAAAAGGATTTTCCGCATAAGTTCTTGAATAAGTCAAGCATATATCTTTCTAACTATTTATATATACGTACACATATATCAAATATAAACTAATAACGAGAGAGAGAGAGAGAAAATTAAATGAGAGTCACGAACCTCACTGGCAGAGATATAACCATTTTGGTCTTTGTCAAAGACTTTGAATGCTTCTTTCAGCTCTTCCTCAGCATCACTTTCCTATACCATCACATGATCATGATTCATGACAACAATTAACATACAAAACTATTGTTAATAAAATGTCTTTGTTTAGAATATATACACATATGAATCTTCACAATCAGATTTAAAGCATGGAAAGATGGACATTTTTTTTTAAGAAACTAAGAAGCATAATGAATGAGACAAACTATAAAGACAAATCCTTTACTTGATGTAACTTTTTTGTTTTGTGGCAAAGTTAGCTCTAATAGTGAAAAAATAAGCATAAGAGATCAAGAGAAGAGGAACCTGAAGTTTTTTGGCCATGAGGTTGAGAAACTCAGCAAATTCAATGGTGCCGTTGCTATCAGAATCGATCTCAGTGATGATATCTTGAAGTTCTTGTTCTGTCGGATTCTGATCCAACGAACGGATCACTGTTGCAAGTTCTTCCACCGTTATACAACCTATTAATGGATTCCCAAACAACGATAAATAAATGTCATACAACATATATAGTCGTCTTTGTTATATATATTCTATGACCGTCTAGAGAAAGAGAGAGAGGGAGAACCGTCGCCGTCTTTGTCGAAGAGACAAAAGGCTTCTTTGAACTCAGTGATCTGATCTTTTGTCAGTGCTGTCTCTTCCATTGTTTTCTGAGAATTTTGTCTGGAGAGAAAGAGAGAGAAGAGAGGGAGCTCAAGGTTTGAAGTGCTTAAATCTCTGATTTATGGTCTATTTGTAGAGTCGTGACAAGACCTTTTCTACATTGGACTCATGTAGTACTTTTTCAAGTACTTTAAGCCCTTTAGTTGATTCTCAAGTTGTTTTAAATTGAAAGGGCAGTACTATTTTTTATTTCATTTTTTTCTTTCTAGAATTCTTAAATTGAACAATTTAATTCTAGTCACATGACTAAAATCGCATATAATAAATTAATAATTGTCGCTGTTTGTTAAAGTTCAAATCACTTCTGCAAAGTTAGTTTTGAAAAATCATCTTCGTCTAACAATCCGTTGTTTAGTCAGTCACCTATGCATCAGCGTAAACAGTGAAAACCATCCGAAAACTTTAAATCGCCCGATGACAAGGAGAGACTATAAAAATACATAGAAAGAAAATTACTAAAACAAACAAGTATAAGTCTAAAATATGCTTGATAAAACGTCCCTTGTTTTTTTTTTTTTTTTTTTTTTTTTTGAATAACCGCGGGTCTCCCAAAGGCTTCCTAGGCCCAAGGACTAATCCTACGAGGCTGGCAATTCCCCTATGTAAACCTGCCAGTAGCCGTGCCTCGAACTCTGGTGGCGGAAGTCACAGTTGTGACCCCTTTACCACTAGGCCACAAGGCCCGGTTGTCCCTTGTTTTTCTCTGTGTTCTAAACCATTAACCACTCATTTTGAACTCAACAATCCTTTTCTTTTATTTTTTTCTGACTTCAAAATCGGTGGTCACTTTCTTAATACTTAGAAAACAATATTGAATTTTGTCTACACAACTCACTATAATGACCTCATTGGCCATCAAGTAAACCAGGAGATTCTCCTTACCAAGTGAACATATCTGCCATGCTCGTGTCCATAGAAGACATATTAACTACATAGCAACTCGACTGTCCATAGGGGTGAAAGCATCACGGCTATATGAAGCTTAACTTGGCCAGCATGATCTTGTAAAATTCGTACATTATATTCCCACACAATGACACAATGATTCAAAGTTTATCCACAAATCATGATTAAATAACTACTTGAAGAATCATTCCATTTTCAAAATTGTTCCGATCGACGACATTTTTTAGAATTTACGGAGGTAATTATGAGAATATTACAGATTCAAATGAATCACACATTCACACCATTTATTTCTTTCCCTATACTTTTTGTTTGAATAAATATGACTGTTTTTATAAATCAGATAAAAATATTTTCCACGTCACATACCATAATTAGAGTATCTACTGCTAAAAGATTGTAATCAGAATATCTATTGCTAAGAAAGATTTTAGGAGAGACTTGCATTGAATCTGCAATTGGTATCCGAACAGTAGGGAAAAATGCATGTATATATGCTACGTTGAATTGACCCTATCGTCTGCATTATAAGGTCACAAGCACGATATACGAAAATATTAAAAAAAAAAATGATTAGAGGTAGCAAATCAACGGACCAACAAAATATTTGGAAACGATACGCGCCATTCAATCGATTAAACTTTTCATGTCTTGAATTTCGAAAAACGAATTGTCAAAACAAAAAGAAAAGTATGGGACTTTTTCTTCGTTAGTAATCTTTGCATTTTTAAGCTTCATAGCTGAAAAGTGTAATTCGGGTTAAAATACATATAAATATAAATATATATATATATATATATGACCGACCTAAATAGCTCACGGTAGTAATCCTTATTTTGACTATTCATAGAATTTACATAGAGGGAAATTAACGAATATTTGTTTTATGTCATTGTAATTACAACAAAATATTTAGACAACTGGATTATGGGCCTATGGGGATGTGAAGCGTCAACTTAGATCTAGAGTCACTTCATAATTTTAATGGAGGTGTGTAGACTGAAAAAAAAAGAGATCAAATTATTATTATTTTTTTTTTTTTTTTATTTATTTTTTTTTTAAGAGATCAAATTATGCTTCTGACTAAGAAAAAAAAAACGACATCAGAACTGATAGATATATCATATATTTGTGAAATCTGATGCATGGTTTGAAATGAGTTTTAGCTTATTCACATATTAAATAACACGAGAGAAGGAATTATTTTATATATGCCACTAATATTATAGGTAAAAATTCAGAATATACTCTCGAGTTTGTAACCGCTGTATAAAATTTTCACTAGCTAATAAAAAAATACGTCAAACCAGCGGTTATACTGATTTTGTATTTGTCTTAGAAAAGAGGTTTTAGCGGTGTGAATATTTGAGAGACTGCGTTTTGGGGAAAACTTCGATAAAAGTCTCTAGCTGCGAAAAGTATTTACTAGATTATACGTCGTCTAAGAGCGATAAATCTATTACAGTATGTCTTTAACCAAAAAAAAAAAAAAAAAAAACTATTAGTATGGTAGATGAAGAGTTCTGTGTTTTTTTTTTAATGAGAAAATAGAGATTATAGGATTCTGTGTTTTTTTTTTTAATGTTTTTTTCTGCTCTGGTTGAAGATTCTCTACATTAAACCGTTTCGAGTTAAAGTAGTGGTGGAGACAACAACAAACTTGGCCCTTCGGCCTTTAAATTACCTAAGAATGTCATTGAAGATAAAAATTTTAAGAATAAATTAATTAATTTCATTAAGATTAAACAACTCAAATACTAATTTCTGAAATTTAATTATAAAAACAAAAAATACATTATTAATTAAAAAAAAAGAATGACCAATCAAAATGAACATATAAAATTTGATATCTAACTTACCATATTAATTTGTTATTAATCATTATACTTCACCTCTCATTTTTATATGATTCTTATTTTTTGTGAAACAAATAAATCATCATATCATCCATATCATAAAAAGTAGATTTTTATTCGCATATGCCATGATTTGAATTTTTAAAAACGAACTTAAATTGTTCAATCTATGAAGGAAAAAATGTAACAGGTCAAAAATTAAGACTTGAGTAATATATTTCTTTTAAACAAAAATAAATTCAATAAAAATTCTAACTGAGTAACGGATCAGAATTTGAGTATTTATATTCAATTTCACACATATATTTTTTTGAAATGCAAAATTTTATTTACTACAATAAACTTTTTGAATATTTTAATTTGAAATATTTAAAAATAGTTTTACTTAAAGAATATCATCAATACTTAATAGATCAAAAAGTTAAAAATTATAAATATTTTAATTTTATTTTTTAAACAAATATATTTATAATATTGACATCCGTAGAGATTAACCATATGTATTATTTCTTATTACATATGATTAATCTCTATGTATTATTACATTTTTGATAACCGTCGTTTAAAAAATGTAGACTAAAATTTTTTCGAAGGAATCATGGACATTATGCACAACCTACTAAACAATTTTGATACTAATATAACAGATGGTGATTGTTGCTCTCATAGAAAGGTATGCCAGAACAATCTTGTATGTTCGAGGATTGCTCGATACCCCATGATTGTGATGTTTTGACGATTCCTGCATCAATAAAGACAACGATGAGAGAATGGAGCTACCGTGGGCCAATTCAAATTGTTGTCATGGCCGCCAAAAAGGATGGTGTGGATTCTACTATAGTAGATCTGCTGAGGGCTAACAATGCCAAAGTGATCATTCTTAAATCCGAGAAGAAACATGCTAGCGACGATCACATAAAACATTTAATCACTACTTGGACATCAAAACATCGTCCTCTAGATAATATTTTATTGATCTCCGGCGATGGTGCTTTCGCATACACACTTCATAACCTTACTGGAAGTTGCTAGAATTGTATGATTTCATTTTCATACATGTTATTATTGGTTTTTGAGAAAATTGAATTTTTGTAAGAGCTCATCTCTAACTTTTATTATAAAAAATAATTGTTATGTTGTATTTTTTAATTATAGTATTGTAGTATACTTTAGAACTATGTCATATTAATAGCCAAATTTTTCAGTAAGTTTTCAATTTTTGAACTTATATCATTTTTATTTCGATAGTCTTATAGGTGTTAAAACACGGCAGAGGTTATTAATCTATAGTCTAATATGTGTTAAAATATAATAGTAAAGTCTATAGAAGACCTTAGTCGTAAAGTAATTTAAAGTAATTTGTTTTCTTTTTTTAATTATACTCAATTATGGATATATTTTTTTAAGATATGAAAACAGAAAATAAAATTATTTTAATAAATTAATATGATCTGAACAATGAGTTAATTTATATTAACAACCACAAAATGAGATTGCATATAATTCAGTTAGATCAAAAATCAAAATATTATAAATGAATCGCTTCTAAAACGTAGATTATTTTTAATTAATTAAGAAAGTTAGGTATTATTTTGAATTAATTTAGGAAATTCTTTTTTCAATTTTTAGTTCTTTGGTTGTTGAAATAGAGATTTGTTTGAGGTAACTACGGAATTTACAAATTATTCGTGTAATCGAATATGTTATGAACATATATTTAGTATATAATATACCAAATTCAACCCGTGCGTGGAGTATATATTTTTATTTTGGAATCCTAATGAAAATATTGCGTGCACAATCTATTATTCGTTATTTCCAAAATTGCTTGCACAATCAAAATTTCAAATATTTTGTGGTGTCAACCTTATTCAATTTATCTGATCATATAATGTTAACATGCCGTCTATTATAAGGATCATAATTTTATATCATATAATATATTACATTTAACCCTCCGCCTACTATAACTATTTTAAATATATCTTTTTAGAAAATCAAATTAAAGTATTTGTAATTTTTTTATCTTTTTAATCTATTAAATATTTATGATATTTATTAAAATATTAAATTAAACTATTTTTAAATGTTCCAAATTGAAATCTTTAAAAATATTTCTTGTAGTATATAAAATTATGAATTTCAAAAAAGAATTATATGAAATTAAATAGAAATATTCAAACAGTTATAAGGATCATAACTCATTATATTTAACTCACTGCCTATTATAAATATTTGTTTTAAAAAAATCAAATTAGAGTATTTATTGATGATATTCTTTAAATATTGATGATATTCTTG